AAAGAGTTATATATAAAAAGTTGTTATTTCAATAGTTCAATCTTATGAAAATATGAAACTCAGAAAAACCGGTGGCGTACAATGACATTCACCATAAATTACGATAAATTCACCCACTGTGACGCCACTGGAAATATTATTTCGAATCTAATTGTACCAGAAGAAGCTTCATATTACTATTAAGAAAACCCTAACGTTTTATTGAAATTGATGAAAAGACAATTGAGTAATGAAGATATTAATACCCTGTATCTCGAAAACGAAGCAAGTTAGGACACATGTTCATATGAACTTTATTTCCTAAAATATCACTAGGAATCGCCTCTCGCCCTATGATTTTTTTGGTGTTATTCAGATACACCTTGTATATTATAATTTTTTTTAAATGAAAATAATCACCTTTCAAAAACTCTAGATCTTGATTATATGATTTACCGATATTGTCATATTCCTCAACAACCAATGAATATTAAAACGACAATTTACAATATGCCAAACATTTTTCAGAAATAAATTTGAATCGGTAAACACTATCGATTTGATTACACTCGTATTTACTGATCATCAAAACATTTAGGTGAGTACTTATAACTATTTGTTGATCTTTTGAACTAGAACTGACGTTAGGTCAATATTTTTTCAACATAAATTATTCAGAAGAGGCAGATGAATTTTTTCATCGTATCCGAATCAACACCATATTTCTTCATATGAATACGAGTATGAATACGCCTAGTTGAATATTTTCATAATGATTGCGCCCACTTGCAAAAATCTAGTTGTGAAATATAATATAAATTTGCTTCTGTCTGTTAAAACAAGGCTACTCATAATATGAACTGGTATGTAGTGAGTGAGCTGAAGACGTTTTTGGATTTCATTCTGATGATTAATCATTATTGGTGACTTTCTCTATTCAAATGAATTTTATTTACGCTACAAAAAACATTGGCCATCTATTAGACTTTTCTTTTGAGAAGTATTTTGAACTTGAAATTACATCAAATCAACAATACATGGTGATAAAGTCTCGAATTTTTTTCAGAACAATTTAGTTTTTGTGCATGCGAATTTTACGGATCGAATTCGGGATCGAATTTAAGAGTATTTTTATCGATCAAGTGAGTAGGTACAGTCGTCTTCAAAAAACATGTCGCACATGGACGATGATAGCATTCTTTATAACTCTTGCAATAAGAGCGCTGACACCGTCCATCCGCGACATAATTTCTGAAGACGGCTGTACAGTCAAATGCAATGAAAATGCCGCACATGGGCGGTAATAATAGCACCTCTATAGTCATTTCTGTAATAAGAGCGCTTACACCGTCCAAACGCGACATGTTTTCTGAAGACGAGTGTACATACCAATAGGTATCAATAGCAATACCAGCCAGGCGAACTCGACAAGCGCAGTCAGCACATCCTTTCGTTGTCAACTTCGAAATATGTCGAACAGCACTATATCAAAACTCATTTCTCTATAGAACGGGAAAGCTCTGGAATTCATTGCCTGAGGAAATGTTTCCAAGAACTTATATATAATCTCCAAAAGTTCAAAATAAATTCCAACATTTCCAACACCTACCTCCTCTCCCTTTCGTACGCACCTAGCAATAAAAAAAATCAAAAGCCGAATGAAGGAAGGAAATCAGATTTCTGTTGTAAAGTTTGCCAGATTGATTCCATGAATTATCATTGATCTGCAGCCAGAGTTCTGATAAAAATAAGTGCTATTCTAACGATTTGTGCGGGAAATTTCATATTTTGTGTTTTTTTTTCTTGCAATGTTTTTTTATTCGCTGTGGATTAAAAATTTCAAGGGTCGATTGCATTTCCAACTGAATTATCTACCTTTTAAAAAGTATATTGGTGCCAAAAACTATGTGAGACGTAAGCGAGCAGGTCTCTAGAAAAGCCGATCTCACTGTGCCCAACATATATAAGCTTGTCAGGAGTAATCATGACTTTGAAGATATCCATTTCGATGCTTGGTATTACTATCACCAATAACCTTTCTTGGGAAAATCACGTGAGATCAATTGCTAAAAGTGCATCCCAAAAACTTGGTTTTCTGTTTCGGGCCAGGAGCTATTTCGCTTCCAGTCAGCTGCTTATCATCTATAAGGCACAGATCCGACCTGTCCTGGAATACTGTTCCCATATTTGGAGTGCAGCACCCAAACATACCCTGAAACTGTTGGATTCTGTCCAAAAAAGGGCAATTTGTCTCGTGGGTGATGACAAACTCACTCACTTCTCTAGAACACCGTAGAAAAGTTGGCAATCTGGCTCTATTTTATAGATATTTTCATGGACGATGCTCTTCTGAAATATCAACAATTGTTCCTCCCTTAGCAGTCCCCGCGAGATTAACCCGTCGAGTTGAGGCTTCGCACCCCTTCGTGGTCACTTTGGAGACCTGCAGAACATCTCTTTCCAAAGACTCGTTCATCCAACGAATAGCGAGGCTCTGGAACACATTGCCAAGGGAGGTGTTTCCCGAGGCATATAACCTCCAGAAATTTAAGAAGAACACCAAATTCCCACCTTATTTTCCTTGGTTCCCACGATGTTCTCTGAACATTTACAGGATATCCCTTTTCGTGGGAACCAGAACATAAAAAAAAAGTTTCCATTGGAAATGCACTCTTACTTTCTATTGTCTTCTATGGCACAGTTATTGAACTGTTGATGTTATTAAATAATTGCGACATAGTTTTTATCCTGAATGATAATTCGGTTGACTAGAGTTCCAGCGAACGTGAGTCACCTAACCACTGCACAGGTATACTTATTTTCAATCCCACCTTCCAGATAGCATTAGCGTTTAGCAGGTATCGTGAATATTCAGATTATCAAATAAAAACAATGTTCATTTATTTGTTTACCGAATGATGGATGAGTTGTTCGAGAAATTATTTCTATTGAATCATTGTCACCCATGGTTTGTTTTTAGAATGAACAGATAAAATGACAGAAATGTGCAAGTGCTTTCATAAGGTATGACAGTGACGAATTTCAAATGTTGTTCTTCACAGGGTTTGTTTGTTATTTGTTTTACAAGCTCAAGTCTTTTTTTTTTCAGTTATATTAGAACAAAACAAGCGCACCTTAGTAGGCCTTGAATATATGAAGATTAATTTTTTTAACAAATTATGAGTCAACTTCCGAGCCCGAGCTCGAGCCTAATCTGATATAGTGTACTATGAAATACGCATCACCCTATATATACATGAAACACAATGATCTAATCATAGTAATCTGTATACAGGGTGTCCCGAAATTAGCCTGCCAAACTTCACCAGTGGTTTCTACGACCAAAAATAGGAAGACAAGTTTCAATGTATGTATGTACATATATGTACATGAGTCGAAAAATGTCTCCTGAGGGAGCTACGGCTCCCTGAAGGGCTCCTGAAGATGATATTTCTTGAATATTTCTGAAACGCCGTTTGATAAAATGATGCAATTCAGTACAAGACATAAACTTCCTATGCTCAATGCAGTGAAAAATACAATCATTCCAACATTTCATTCAGGAGTGTATAAAACAGGGTGGGACTAATTAACTATCAATTCGGCAATTTAATCTCGGATTATGATAATCCACACCTCGGTCTACAGAAAAAATGTGCTCTTATTCTGTATTGATCAGATTTGTCATTCTCGAGTAAAATCGATTACCAAATATTGTTACATTTCTTTACAAATCTTAAAGGCTATCGAAACAAACATTTTCCGATTTTACGCGCCTCTATGAAATTGTTTGGTGAAAAGAAAGTAGTTGTTTTTTTATAACCACTGTGATTTGAAAATTGGCAACTTTATACATACTATATATATAATATGTGAGATGTAACAATATTTAGAAATCGATTCCACTTGAAAATGATACATCTGATCGATACGGCCCAAAACGTAACCATCGAATCTCGATGGTAACGCACAAGTGCACCTTTTTTCTGTAAAGAGGTGTGAATTTTTCATAATCCGAGATTAAATTGTCCAAAAACATGCAAATATACAAGAAAGTTTGAGCAATATTTAATGTATAGTCCCACCCTGTATTATACACTCCTGAATGCAATTTTGGAACTATTCCATTTTCATTACATAGGGCATAGAAAGTTAAGTTCATCACATGGCGTTTTGGAAATATTCAAGAAATTTCATCTTCAGGGGGGCGCAGCTAGCTCCCTTAGGAGTCATTTTTCGGCTCATGTACAATAAAACTTCTTCCTATTTTTGGTCGTAGCAGCCGCTGGTTGAGTTTGGTAGACTCATTTCAGGATATCAAACTTAATGAAAATATGTACAGCCCTACTAAATTGACCATATGAAATTGTATAAAAAATGCTCGGTAGGTTGATTTTATTCAAGGTTCTTTTTGACATGAATTTCATCTGATTCTTCAAATTTTTCCGAGAGAGGCAGCTACCCCTTACAGAACCCAAAATTGTCTATTCATCAACGATGTAAAAAAGATTCCTTTCAAGAAAATAATCTACAATATACCAATATGTTGATAATTAATGCTTTTTATAGCCTTGAGGAATTCGAAACCGATGCGAAAACCATCTTGTAACTCAAGATTATGTCTCGCTAATTTTTCACTAAAAAAACGTGATGTAGAGGTTCCTAATTACGAGTGTAAAAGTTCAAATAAAGAAATATAAAGATTTTAGTTTTTTGATAGAGATAAATAGATACATATGTACTGTGCTGGTGTTTATGTTTATCTACACACCAACTGGCCATAACCTTTCGAAAGGCCCTTCAGCCCATGTGTGTTATGTGTAGGCTTCGTTACTCGACTCCATACGGCACCTTAGGAGCAGCACTCTCAATTCAAATGCAACAGTCAATAATATATGGAAGTTATATGGAAAATCTGTGCTCTGTGGGAAATTCGGACTCACCAAGTTTGACTCGTCAGCGCGCTAGTCCCGTCCTCTTTTTTAAGATATTCTTTTAATTACTATGCATTATTGTTTCAGACGCTGGATTACGATAGGGATGGGCTGACCAAAATGAAGAAAGCCATAAAAGCCATTCATACATCAGGAAATTGTAAGTATATTAATCTATGGACCGAACCTACGTAGGGTGTCCTAAAGCTCTGCAGCAGATATGCCTACTAGAAAATTTGTTGCATAATATTTATGAGATTAAAAACTCTCCAAAAAATCTAAACTTCAGACAATCCAGTAGAAACCACCTTGTCTTGTGTTTTTTTCAGATTGCACCCCCATATTCGTTTAGATTCATTTCATAGAATTTGATTATTTTGCATCTGATGCAGACTAAAGCCTCAACTTGAAAGAGGGGATGAAAATCGATTGATCAGAGGCAGTCTAGCCGCCTGCACATTGAAATTGCTTGGGAGATAACTGCTTAATCCAGGGTGAAAAATGTTCAGGAAATTCTTGGCTTCATTGCGGAAGGAACGATAATCTGGATTAGGTCAAGTAGTGGTGTACTCGAAACGATTCATAGTCTCTAGACACGATTCTAATCACATTTAGTGAGTTTGATAATGATAATATTAATAAGAACCCGTGTGAAAAAGGCAGCCAAAAACCACAAGATATCCGCCAGTGACGTCGTCCAAGTTTCCGTAATGATTATTTATGAATTATATAATATACAGGGTGTTGTGGAATTCGACCGACAACGCTTGACAGGTGATAACCCTCGTAATTTCATAATCACTGAGATAGGGACATACCGTCTCCAAGTGTTCAGTTCTCGAGATACAGGGCGTTGAAATTGAGAAATAAAAATAGTTTTGTCGCAATATCTCAAGAATAATTGAATATAATGCATTCAAATTCGGTATATGGTTTTGTCTTTGAATGTGTGATTTTTTGACCAGAAAGCCATTCCGAACATTTTATCCAGTGGTGCCCTACAGGGGGTTGTGGTAACTTTCCCTCCCATATTTTCTACGCCACTGATTAAATTTCGATTACAAAAGTATGAAAAAACAATATTACAAAAAGGCTGTTTTGAATAACCCCGTATGTTATACCATTTCGGAATCTGTCTTAGATGTGCAACTTTTTCTCATGATTGGTTATCTTTGTGAGGTAGTTTTTAAATCTGCCAGCGGCATTAAAAAATCAACTAAATTAAATATTTAATTCAACAAAACTTTCAGACAGCAACATTTTTCTCAATTGATAGGAAGTAAAACACAGACCATGCAAATTATTTCTGGGGAATGGTACATCCATGCGGTTGAAATTTGTAAAAAAAATAAAAAATGTGGCATATTTTCATGGTATTTTTCTTTATAGAAATGAACAAAAAACTTGAACCATCTTTAATTGGATAACCACATGAACGGTTAATTTGATCCATGACGTATAGGACACCCAGTATATTGCAAAATAATAATGAACAAAACAATAAAATAAATTGGGAACGACAGCTCACTTTGAAAACAATTATTATGAAAATTTATAAAATGCTAACCAATAAATTCGTCACCTTGATTTATTTACAGAAACTATGTTGAAACGAAAGAAAAAGAATGGCTGTCTACATAATGGTGTAAATATTTCCGAATTCAATGATGTAAAAGTTGTTTTTCCTGCAAAATTAAGTAGAAAAACATTTGAGGATATTTCAGTCAATGCTGAATCATAATATTCGAGGAGTTTATTCATTTAATTTTCAGTCAATTGAAATAATACATCAAATAACGGCTTGTGGCGTTTTTTTTGTCGGTCACCCTATATGTATGCAAAGTAGGTGATAATAGAATTCACTGATTCTGCTGTTTCCATGATATGGAAACTGAAGTTTTACAGTAAAGTAGTCAACTTAATTATAAATTGTTCCCAATTGAATGAATCTTTTTTAATTTGTCACCGATCGAATCGAGTATGTACAAAAGGTTTTGTATTTCTGCATCAGCGATTTCAAATAATAGTGCAATGTGATTATTCTGTATATAAACAAACTAACGAGGTTATTTTGAATGTTATTACACTTATGGTAACCAGTCATTGCGAGCAAATGTCAATGTACCTCTAATTCTCCATTTAAGTTTCCTCTTTGTTTTCTCTTCTTGCAAATGTACGGAGAGTTCAAAAAGTCTGAGGTATCGTATTGTCAAAGAACTTTTGGAAGGAACTCGAGATACTACGTTGAAAATTTCAGGAACAATTCGAAAGATTGATTATGAAAATGGAAGGAAGCTCGAACAAAAGATTGGTACCGACTCCTCCGATCAAATACACGGGCTCTTATGAATAATGTATATCACGAAATTGATAAATATTCATTTGGCAGAGCGACCTCACCATAAACAAGTAAAAGACATGGAATATTCAGTCGACTACTCATCTGTTGTTATCTCTCTAGAATGAATTTCATGTTGCTTATCAGTGAACAGTAATTGTTTGCATTTTTTCACTAGTACTCAACCGACTATCGTTATTTTATTTGCAACCTCTTTTTATAATAGTTATATTTTTCATAATATACTATAATATCGTTTCAAGGTAGAATAGATAAATGCATATCTTCTGAAAAATAAACATATCCAACTATTGCATTTTCTGAAAATATACGGCCAATAGCAGTTGAAGATGGAATATAGTTTTAATATAAGCTGGTTTGAATTCATTGCCTCATCTTGCTAATATTTTCATCTAGAAATACTTTATTGCTATTTTGATAATTATCACTAGAAAGATGTTCAAAATTTCAAATCTCAATATTTATCAAATGAAGTTCCTACCATTATTTCATTCTGATAGGTGTTAATTTGATAAATTTCATACCAGAATATACAGGGTATGTCACTATGAGCTTACACTATCTTTATATGGAGAATCAGTCTGGAGAAATCCATGAAAATGTGCCTGCTTATATTTTAGAAGTCTCTCTCTCCATTTAAAATATTTTCGACAGTGCAGTGTTGCCGCTTCTACTAGAAAGTAGTAGCAACATTGATATTTCAAATGGAACACTCTGCATTTTATCGCACTTTAGGATTCTTCCTGAAGTATTACACTTCGGGTGTATCAAAAAAGATTACAGAGATATAGGGTGTTAAAAAACGAGATTTTTCAACATTAGGATTGTTTTGTGTCGAAACTATTCATTATCGGTCAAAACGGCTCACTTGCCCCTATCTCAACTTTTGAATCACTATTTACTGATATTTAATCAGTACAGATACAGGGTGGTTCAAGATTCTGATCACCCTGTTTGTGTTCCGATTAAATATCAGTAAATAGTGAGCCGTTTTGGACGATAATGAATAGTATCGACACAAACAAATCCTAAAGTTGAAAAATCTTGATTTTGAACAACCTATATCTTTGTAATCATTTCCGATAGACCCCAAGTTTGATGTATCGATGAAATCAGCTCTTCAGGGAGAATCTTGAAATGCAATGAAATACAGGGTATTCTATTTGAAATAACAAAATTGTTGCTACTTTTTGATAGAAGCGGCAACACTGCATTGCTGAAATTATTTCAAATGAAGAGAGCGTATTGGAAAATATAAGCATGCATTTTTTCATGTACTTCTTCCGACTGATTCTCGATATAGAGATAGTGTAAGCTCGTCGTGAAATGCCCTGTAGACTTTCGGGATTTCAGGGATTTTACAACTGCAAAGTGGCTGAGGCTGTGATGAAATGAAAAGAATAAAAAAATACATCCAGTCTGGAGATATTCCGTAGGTTAAATGCTCATTCCTATTAGCTGCTATAGAATTCTTTCTGTGAACCTCCATAAATACTCTTTCTTTCAGGTCACTTGTATAACGAATCTTGCTCAGTGAGAAAACAAAGGAAAATTGAGCGTACCATATAACGCTATACTTATATACTTACTTCAAACGAACAATGGCATTAATGGGGATCGTATTTAAAATTCGTCGTCCTGATTAGTTTCCCCAGATTTATTGGCCTTCTTCGTATCCTAATGATGAAATGATTCCTCATCATTTACAACCATTCAGCAATGGGAAAATTCAATCAGGAATTAGATGTTCTGGAATTGTTGATTGAAAATCACGCAAAATTGTATATAAGGAGATTATGATCATGGATTTCATGCTTTTAACAAACGCTATCCCGGAAACTAATAGTGATATTCTTGTGTTGAATTTCTCTCTTTCGAAAGATCCCCTTGAATTCGTGTCATTTCTTATATAGGTGGTGTAAAGCGTTGTATCCAAACTACATCTTCTACATATTCTCATAATTCAGTATGCATTTAAAAAAAACTTGCAATCAATTTCATTCAGTATGAATCGGAAAAACACTTGTAATCAATTAAAATGTTAGTGGTATAATAGTCATTCAATTTAATTTAACCCACTACTGTTTTATGATTGAACTGACATTTTTGGTCTTTATGGCGTCATTTGGGCGGACAAACATGTATTTCAGATAGAATCGTCCTGAATGTATCAATGAAATACATAAAGAATTGGAAAAGTATTATATTCAAAATCTTGAAGAATGTATAATGTTACGTATTATGTACTATGTAGGTACATACCTACCTAAATGAAAAAGGAAATAGCAGAATTTACTAAAATGTATAAATCGCCATGAATTTTGAGATCGATTTCTACGGTACATTTGAGTGTGACCTAGGGATACAGAATCTTTCTCATGCTGTTTCGAGGAAATTCAGAAAATGAGGTGGGCATAAAAAAATTGGCACTATGGAATTTTTCCCGCTGAATTAAGGTATAGTTGAACAAAAGTAAATACCCGTTGATATAAGAAGTTGTTTCTTAGTACACAAGGTGGCTCAAATGAATTAATGGTCCAAAAAAACAGTAATATGCGAATATTCATTCAAAAATAACTACCTACCTGTTGGTTATAATCGAGAATGTGGAATGTTCTTTTCTCTAGTATTTTCGGGATTTTCTCTTCTCTGTTCTAAGAATAAAATTATGAATTAATTCAAAATAAAAGTATTTGTAGTACCTACAGGGCAAAAATTGCTGATATTACCTACAAGTATGTAGCAAACAACAACCTCGCATCCATCCATTGTACTGGAAGTGGAAATTTCCAGTTCAAAGTGGCAATTGTTAGTTCAAAATGACAATTTCAAATGGTTTGAAAATAATTAGAGTTGTTGAAGGGCCTTTGAACAAATAAGGAATGATCACCTTCAAATAGTTTAATTGGGAAAAAGGTTCTATAGGATGATCTGAAAAAAAACACAGGAGATGCAATTTAAAAAAAATTTAGTTAAGGGTGGTTTCTAGTGAATTCTTCAACAGAAGATTTATTGCAGTACATCTGGTTCGATAAACCTTCATTTTCGGAAATTAATGAAGGTTTATCAAACATGTCCACAGGTAACTAATCGTTCAAGTTGGGAAAGTAGGACGAACCTACTGTGTTAGCGAAATATGCTGTGTGTTTAAGAATTTTGTGGAAATCTAATCGTTTGTGAAGTTTTTACATTTGACAATTGTCAGTTCAAAGTGACAATCCTCAGTTCAAGATGATAATTGCCACATCCAAAGTGTCAGTTCCAAATGTTTCGAATAAAATCTCGAAAAAAAATAGAATTGTTAGACCAATAATAAATACTCCTTCTTGAAGTTCCCCCCTTTTCCAGGTCACGTCGATAACGAATCCTACTTGGTGAAAGCTCTCGAGAAGATCGGCCAGAACGCGATAACGAAGGAGCAGGAGGAGATCATAGGCAACGCGTTCCTCAAGTTCGCCGTCGTCACTCAGGAGCTGTCCGCCCTCATGAAGACCCTCATGCAGAACCTGAACAACATCGTCATGTTCCCGCTGGACAGCCTGCTGAAGGGGGACCTTCGCGGGGTGAAAGGCGATCTGAAGAGGCCGTTCGACAAGGCAAGACAAGACAAATTATCATTAGTATGATACACATAATTATACACTCACCTAGAATGCCAATACATACGGATAAGGTACTTCTGAGTTTGCGCGTTGCGACAGCATCGACGTCAAATCTATAATTGTTTATGTCATCCAGGGGAGTATTATGAAGATATTAAAGGGTACATGGGTCCCGTTGATTGATGAATAGAAGCATCTAGAGACAGGAGGCAAAAGAGACAGGGCGCAACAAATAATCCGCTTGATCGTGATCTTGACCCGTTGATCGTGATTCGACATATCTGTCATGAGTGTCACGTTTTCGACATAATATTCATGATTCTGTTCAAATTTCAATTAGAAATATTATAAATTCCTATGAATGAGAATTCATAAGGACATTAGTTGTTTGTTGAGCAGGTACTGATATTATATTAGGTAGTTGAGTGAGTGTTTTGTGCTTTCATCATGGACTGACCATGCTGCGAGGAAAAAATATTAATAGTCAATGAATCGGGCGACCTGATTTCGAATCCGAAATGATTTTCAACCTATCTTGTCTCCTAGTATTATTTTCCCCAAATGTAGGTGGTTCCATATCTGCTTGCGAGCAGTGTATATCAATGGAGATAACCCCACAAAGTCATAGGTGTATTTTTGGTATCTCCCACTTCTGCGAATTTCAGAATCCTAACTCAACAATTACATAAGATACAGAGGTGCTTCCATCAGAAATTAGACATAATATATTTGGATTTGATGTCCCGATTTCCAATCAATCCTTATTTCAACCTATCTTGCATTTCTGTAAATTTCGGTGATTCCATAAGTGCTGTCAGCAGTGTATATCAAAATTGAAAGTTATGCTACCAACACAATAGCACAAAGTGTATATACCTATTTATAATAAGTCATTTTCATAGATGTATTTCGTTTTTTTTTGAGCTGGTAGTGGTAGTTCAGAGTTCAAAAAAGACTGAGCACCCCTGATTCACACTAACAAGATGAACTATCCTTATGAGAGCAATGAAGCCAGAAATTCTATTCAGTAGGTTTTGGTATCTATGAATAAGGTGTACTAAAGGGTAGAGATCGGTAAAGCAGAATATATATTCGATGTTTATTTTTCAATTTTTTTACGCAAGAAGAAAATATGTGAATTTAAAAGCCTTCATGATATCAAAGTTAGTGATTTTCCTGCGTCAGAAGGAAGGATAATCCTAGATAGTTCGGCAACTCGCAGATAGACAAATCGGCAATATTTTGCTGAGTTTTGCTAGCGCCGCCTTGGCTTCAACAATCAATCAAGTGTATTATTAATAATCAACGGTTTCTGAAACTTATGACGTATAACTGTGTGAAGGTGTTCCTAGGTGGAATTTTCATGTTTTTTTTAATGTAATAAACGAATTTATTCAGGCGTGGAAGGACTACGAGAGCAAGTACGCCAAGATCGAGAAGGAGAAGAAGCAGCAGGCGAAGGACGCCGGGCTGATCAGGTCTGAGGTGACCGCTCCGGAGATTGCTGATGAGATGGAGAAGGAGAGGAAGTTGTTCCAGTTGCAGATGTGCGAGGTGAGTTCGTTCTTGATTATAACACCCTTTTATTAGCTTCAGATATATGTATATAACAGACTCCTCTGGATTTGATTTCGACCCACTTCAAACGGACCGATTGATTTGAAATTTGGCATAATTGTACATAATTCTGGTGGCAATGCATCATGACGAAAAAACAAACGAAATGACAGACGAGTTTTGTAATTATGATCCGATTCTATTCAAAATTGGTATCTAGGGGTTTTCGAGGTCGGAGATTATGATTTTTTCATCAAAATTGGTGAATGGAGAAGACCACTGAGGTATGAAATCTGTCCAAACCTCTTTCAATCCATGAGTCATGATTAACATTTAATGTACAATCAATATTAGAAGTTAATGTTGAACGGAATTGAATTTATAGCGTTTTGAAATTAGCATATTCAATTCAATATTTCGAAAAGCCAGATATGAAGGTGGAGCCGTGACGTATTTGTCCCGAACTGTAGCTATCTCTCTCAGATACCTTGCCATTCTGCAGTGTTGCAGTGTGATTGGTCAGCTCAAGGACAATAGTTGTACGTCACACCAGTCAAACCAATGAATTGACACCATTTCAAATTGCGCAGAAAGTGATGTTTTGCAATGCAAATGCAATTCACGATGATGTGGTTTTGAAAAATCAGTGGCCTCTCGGATCCAATATGGCGGACGAGTTTTGTAAATATGATCCGAATCTATTCAACATTTGTATCTGGTAGTTTTCGGGGTAGAAGATTATGGTTGTTTCAGCAAAATTCAAAAAATTCAAGATGGCTGTTCCAATATGGCGGGCGAGTTTTGTAATTGTGATCCCATTCTATTCAAAATTGGTATCTGAGGGCTCTCGAGGTCGGAGATTATGATTCCTTTCGTCAAAACTGACGTCCCATATGGTGGACGAGTTTTATAATTATATGATCCGATTCAATTTAAAATTGGTTTCTGGGTATTTTTGGGGTTGGAGATTATGATGCTTCTGTTGGAAAATTCAGTATGGTGGATACAATATAACGGACGGGTTTCGTAATCATAATCCGATTCTATTAAAAATTAGCATCTGGGGGTTTTCGTTATCTAAGATTATAATTCTATATACACCTCAATTATATTCATCCGAAAGATCAAGACAGCAGTCGGAATTTGATGTGACATGCAAAAAATTCAAAGATACTTTGAAATTTCAACTTTCATATTTCCAACCTAGAAAATAGATCCGTTTTATAAAGAAACGAATTTATTTGCAAAATAATGATTATTAGCATCTTGTAATATAACGAAAGTGAAAAATTATAGATACGACCATTGCAAAATATCATAACGAACCTTTATTAGTAATCAACTTCAGCCAGCAAATAAGAGATTTATGAAAATTATTCAAAATATTCGGCGAAGCATTATTAAAAAAACTTATTATATCCTATTGCTCTTATGGTATTGTTATAATTCATTCAAAGAACAATTTCCGGAATTCTAGCCATTTTGATGATACCGGCAACGTCGTATTGATAAAGGGAATCATATTTCATCTCTGTGTGAATGTGACTTTTCTAGGTAATACGTCATAAAAATGGTGAAGGAACCAAGTTCCTTTTTCATTTATTTTTTTCCGAAGTGGAAGTTGATTTCACGAAAAAAATAAAAATACATATAAAAATGTCACAAACCTTAATATTGGAAACTTGCTCATTTCTGTAAGTCAAACATGTAGAATTGACTTAGACCCGTCAAAAACATGTAAGCCCCTGAAGTCACCATAAATATTCTCAACGTCGATGAGTTGCCATTTTGGCTTCTTCGAATGAATAAAAGAGTCCTTCCTCGAAGTGGCGATTCCGATTCTCTACCGGTCCACGTTCAAGATTTTACAGTTCTGATTTGGTTATCCAAATTTGAATGTTCCGAATGACTTGTTGTATAATCTTTGCCTGTGACTTCAATTTTCAATCTACGTATAAATTCCGATTTCAGACCTCGTAAAAAAGATCTCTCGATCACCTTGTATACCGCTCTGTACGATATTTTTCAATATGATGCCTAAATATTTTCCTTTTTTGCAGTATCTCATAAAATATAACGAGATTAAAACGAAGAAGGGTATCGATTTGCTTCAAAGTTTAGTAGAATATTACCACGCTCAAACGAAGTAAGTGCACTTATCCAATAGGAAATACAATGTCATCATCTCACCTAATATTCCAGTTATTTTCAAGATGGATTGAAGACAATTGAACACTTCGGGAACTACGTAGCCGATTTAAGCATCAGGTTACAAAAAATACGCCAAGCTCAGGACGAAGAAAAAAGAAAACTTTGTGATTTACGGAACCTTATAAAGTCGACTCCTAGTTTGGAGAAGGAAGTAAGAACTTTCATTCTCTACTACATTACTGGTCAAAAATAAACCCAACCTAACTGTTGAAAGAATTGATGATTGTCTCATACAAAATGACAGGATGTAAGTATAGTCTATCCAAAGTCAGTTGGAGCGTTTTCAGTTGTACAATGAATTGATGTTCATCATACATGGCGTGGAAAAAATGTTGAATTGAAAAAACCCAATCTGTGAATGTCTTATGCGTGTACGGAATTCAAACGAACTTCGAAAGAAGCGAAACCGCGTTGCTCTAACTGACTTTGGATCGACTATACTATGTACCATTCTGTACTATTACCCGTACGGTTATGAATCCTACCTTAATAATTACCGATTTCTAATCAATCCTAATTTCAACTAATCTTGCATAGTCATTTTCTGTAAATTTCGGTGATTCCATAGGTGCTATCGGCAGTCTATATCAAAATAATTGACAGTTATGCTGCCAACACAACTCCTTCCAAGTGAAATATGGTCGAATTGAGAATATAGAGTTCATAAAATCCGTTGTTGCTGAAATGTAACCAGTATTCTGAAACAACAAAATCTGTTGATCATAATAGTGTTTAATTTGTTAAGGGTGATTCATAACTTATGTGTGAATTTCGTTAAGGATGATTCATAACTCACGTGTGAATTTCCACGTTATCATTTCAATTTCACTGTTGACTATCACATATGAATAACACTTAAGGAGTGCCTTCCGAAACTAGGTAGGTTCTCAAATAGACCGAGGAGCAGCAGGATATTCACTCCACCAACTACAGGGTGACAAACATCATGGTGTGACACGTTCAGGTCACCTTCTGAAGAAATCTGAAGGTAAAATGAGGCGGGTTTGGCAGAAAAGGAAGTGTCGGGTGCAGGCAGAAGGGTACCTCGATATTTGCCATGCCGACGAAAGTAAACCTCCCACTCGAGTGAATTTGCTCACTTGCCAGATCAAAATTGTGCCAGATGATAAGAGAAGTTTCGATTTGATATCGTGTAAGTCGAAACTGGAAATTTGTCGTGAAGTAATTTGAAGATGATTCCATAAGGCTTTGAGGAGTTGTTGCTATATTGTTTTGATGTTTTAGATAATAGAACATACCATTTTCAAGCAGAAGACGAGACTGATCAAAGGGCTTGGATGTCAGTATTAATAAATTGTAAAGAGATGGCTCTGATGAAGGCGTTTGATGATAGTACCAAAACTGGCGGTGATAAAGTTAATCATAGTTTTATAGAATTACAGCAGGCTATTATAAAATATATACAAAAAATTCCTGGTAATGATAGATGCTGTGATTGTAATTCCCAAAATGGTAAGGATATATTGTTGTTGTTTTTTTGGGTTACTGTTATATTTTGTTTGTAGATGCAACGTGGCTATCAACGAATTTTGGAATTATTGTATGCATAGAGTGTTCAGGTATACACAGGGATTTAGGTGTTCACATTAGTAGAATACAGTCGCTAACTTTAGATAACGTCGGAACTAGTCAGTTAGTCCTTGCTAGGTTTATGACAAATCATGTTTTTAATGATACTATGGAAGCACAGCTGTCTCCAAATGAAAAGCTCCACCCCTCCAGTTCAATGTAAACTATTTTGACTCAAACAACTAAGGCAAATTACTAATAATTTTTTTCAGGGAGGAACGACTGAATTTTATCAGAGCGAAATATGTAGAAAAAAGGTTTTCCGTGAAAACATGTGAGAATGAGGAAGAAAAACTATATGAATTGGAAGATGCAGTCAATAGGGGTGATTTACAGTTACTTCTTGAAACGTTTGCTGAAAATGTGGATTTTAGCTCCCCACTACCTACTTCAGTAAGTCTAATACAATATCTCAACATCAACTGGCACCTGAGTACTCAATTGGAGTACATTAGCAGCAGACTAATACGTTCATGCTGAACTGTATTTATTTCTAAGAGCAGAGGAAAGTTTCCTTTCAACAGAGAAAATCATTCTAATGATTTCCAGAAATATGTTAGATAGCTCTTGTACAACTTTTCTTTTCAACAAAGGAAAAGAATTATGAAACTTCAAAATGTGATATTGATGAAAAAACAAAAAATCATTGTCCATATTCCAATCAGTTGTTTCATCTGAACAAATTTATGTCTTCATCTTGTGCAACGGCTGTGAGGAAATTTGTAGCCTGCTTGATTTCAATCTGCAACTTATTCGTTCATATGAGTCATTCCATTAGACAATGGGAGGTTATAATTCAATGTTCTCCGTGACATAAGCCTGTTATCATCATTGTCGTCCAATTTGTGGAAACGATCAGGTTTTCTTCCCACTAACAGGAATCATTCTCATTATAGAACATAGGGAAGAATGCACTTCACAAGGCCATCATCAACAAGGCGGGCAGTATACTGTTTATTGTGGTCTTCCATATCCAAAACATGTCTTACACGGTTATAGACAGTCAGACCAACGCTCCTATTCCCGAAATAAAAGGGAAATCTCTTAAATATCAATCCAGCAACCTTTTCTTTTCATAATATCAATCACTCCTTGTCTTTTTTCTATTCACATTGTTTTCATTGAATGGACACCAACTGATTTCTCCAGTCAGCGACAATGAATGCTTACAAAAGTGGTAATTGATGAGAAAACAAATAATCATTGTCCATATTCTTATCTGTTGTTTCATCGTGACAAATGTATGTCTTCCTCTTTCGAAGTCTGTGAGGAAATTTGTAACCTGAAATCTGTACTTATTCGTTCATATGAGTCATTCCATTCGACTATGCTAGATTATAATTTAATGTTCAACGTGACACCAGCCTGTTATCTATACCATCTTTGTTCGATTTATCTAACATTTTGTGGAAATGGCTGGGTTTCCTCCCTCTGTCAGGAATCATTCCCATTACAGAAAATAGGGGAGACTGCCCTTCACAGGGCCATCATCAATGAGGCGGGCAGGACACTACACATCGTGGACTTCCTGATCCAGAACATGTCTAACGCGGCCATAGACAGGCAGACTAATGTTCCTTCCATTCCCGAAATGAGCGGTTCGAATACTGCTCTACATTTGTGTGCCCTCTACGACAGAGTGGAGTGCATGAAGCTGTTGCTGCGGAGCGGCGCCGATGCCACCATCCGGAATTCTCACAACAAGACTGCCATGGACATTGCTCAAGAGATGAGCAACAACACCTGTCAAGAACTGGTAAAAATGTTTCCTACTACCAGCTCTCCTGCTTATGTTTATCGCAAATATTCGAAGTATTCGCCATATAAAATAACACGTTGCCCCACCTGACGGCAACAACTTGAACACTTCGGAGAGAAACATATGTGAACCAATGAAAACAAAGTAAATAGGCCGCTTAGAATTAGAGCTTTCAAAAACTCCGATAGGTGGCGTACGCTTATTTTCTATCGCGAATAGCTATCCTGCAAGTGTCACCAACTTCTGTCTCCTTGTGGGACAAACTCGATCGTTGAAAATAAAAAAATTGCAGCCATATAAATGGTGTTCTCGAAAGTGAGGTATTTTTTAACAGGATGTAGAACTCATAAAAAATAACGAAGTTCAAAAACTCACCGATAGAAATTGCCCTATCACAGTAAATTCATAAATTCCATGTTATCAACATTTGTTTGATGGGCGCAGTCAGTACAGTCGTCTTCAGAGATCATGTCGCACATGAACGGTGTCAGCTCTCTTGATCACCGCTGCAATAAGAGCGCTCATACCGTCCAACCGCGACATGTTCGTTGAAGACGACTGTACATGCGACAAATATACTTTTTGCCCACTAATAACTTCACAAGCGTTTGCTATTCTCTCTATCAATTCTCTCACGGTATTCACCTCGCGATTACGATACGAAGTTCTTCAAATGGCCCCAAAGAAAGAAATCGCAAGGATATAGGTTTGGGGAGAGTGCGGACCAAGAAATTGGGCCCATTTCGCCCTATCCACCTTTTGGGAAACACGTTATCCAAATGTTCGCGAACTTGTCTGAAAAGTGTAAGCAGCTCCATCGTGTAGGAACAAAATTACCTGTCTCACATTCAAAGTCGCCTGATATTTGGGGTGGAAGAAATAATGGCTCGATAAGCCCAGCCCAGCGTGAGATATTTCTATTGACCAAATATAGGAATTATGAAAGTTATCCACCCCATTTTCTGTGAATGTGGCTTCTTCTGTAGTCAAAATGAATTTTGTGAATTGTCCGTTGTTATGGTGCTGATTCAGATGCCACAGGCAAGATTCGACCCTCGCATTACGATTTTGAGGTTGTAAGGCTTGTTTTCTTCTTCAATAATGGCATAGGTAGAATTGTTCTTGTCTTATTGTCTTCCATACTTTACTGTGAGCCACTCCGGCTTTTCCAGCTATGGACCTACCCTAATAACAAAGCTATTCAATGGATGTCCATTGGATAGGCCTACATATGGACATGCTGGATGTACACTGTGCCCCAAATAAATCGTAACGACTCTTGGTCGAATTCAAATATTTTTGTCAGAGCACATCATGTACTATTAATTGCCTAGAATTCGCACAGCCAGGACCGTAATGAAATTCTTTTAAAATTCATGAAGTTTTCAATGCATAATATATATTTCATATTGCATTTTTCATTGAGGAGATATTTGATTGATCTGTCTATTTGAATGATACATTCTCTTGAATACAATGCCTCAATTTTGAGAACACTTTGTTATAATAATTACTATTAGGGGCTTGAAGGATGATTTGATTATTTGTTTTCATTTAGTTGCAAAATGCTGCTAATCGATTGAAGAATTACTTCGATAATATCAATATCGATTGGAATTTATCACATGATGATGGCTCAACAGACTTCTCAGACGATGAAACCATCATTGAGGATAGGGTGAGTAAGGCTTTCTCATTATTTTAACACTATCTGACTGACTGAACATTTGTGCAAAGATACATGAAAGATATAGTTGTTAAAACTTATATATGTAATTTGAACAAAACATTTTTCTTTTGATTGACAATTGTTGCTAATAGAATAATTACAATAAACGTCTCACCCTTTCTATGTGAATTACGGTCAATTTCAAAACTGTGGATTCCAATGATCAAATTCACAAAACTAAAACCTCTATTTTCATAATTTATGTGTTTGAAATATATTTGTGGTTGATTCCTAAAGATTTTAAGGATACAAAATTCAATGAAGCAGACCAAGAGACTAGTGACGTTCTCTCATTTTACACTGCATGCCTTCTCAAGGATTCATAATTAACCCCAAAATATGAAAAATTGACTGGTCCTCTTCAATTTTCTTCAGTTTCTCTTAACCGTTCTGAGCCCTTTCCAGAACCGTCTTTCACCTTTTCGAGGCCCTGGGCACATTGAAATAATGGGGCCCCTACGACCATAATAAAGCACCTACTATATCTTGGTAGAATAGACAAATAACGTGAAATGCAAAGTTTTAGCATTATTTGTATTTCTTTACAGTTACATTAGATATGATGAATAGATTATATCATGTAATCCACACTAAGTAACCAGCATCCACGCGATTAGTCCTTATACTCCTTATATACAGTATGATGCAAATGTATAGAATAAATTCATTATTTCAGAAATGGGCGACATTTCAAGAAATTCCTAAAACATGTGAGTTTTAATTTTTGAAACCTCATCTCATGACATTCATTTGAGAGATGTTACGTCTCTGGTGTTGGAGTAATGACGTAATGGACGGTTTTTTTAAATACAAACAGGGGTCATGTGACACCTCGTTTGAAAGGTCTACTGATCGTCTATCCAATAGTCAAAATTTTGCAAAAGAAGATTGAAATTAAAATGGATTATCATTTGGTTAACTGAATCTTGCAGAGATCTTCTACTGAGAATTGAACATCGAAGGGTCGTCTAGTTGAAAAAATACATCGATAAAAAAGTTCTGAACTCTACTTTTTGGATTTTTTTCGGAAGTCGTCTTGTTTTGAAATGAATTTATTCCATACATTTGCATCATACTGTACATGTATAAGTATCTATGCTGATTGAAGATGTACCCTTCTAGATTTTAGTTGAGCAAAATCGTTAATAACATTTTCAAAATCTTTATTTTCGAGCATGTCGCACATTCTATCGACATTAGCGACACACTATTCAATCTCTCTTGAAGCGTTGTACTCGATTTCACTTCTTGCACTGCAGTTAGTTACCTTCATGCTAAGAAAGATTCTCAGTGCGATTTATAGATTGGGAAAGGTGTCTTAAATTTTTGGTCTCTTTCAAAAGGTGATATATTTCCAGTAAACTATCAGTTTTTCCATTTTTACTCTATTCCATTTCTAACTCTTTCTCGTTTACGTCTTCATAGTAGATTTCAGCAAATTCTTTGCAACTTTGTCTCAACTCTTCGGAATTCAGAGTTTTCAAGTGAAAAAATAAACCAAACTTCCTTTTTTTTTTCACTTATTCTCAAGTGAATTATTATTGCGAAAGGCAATTGAAATGAAAAATTATATTGAAATTTATTAAACATGCTGCATTCGGTAAGCCTGATTTTCAGGCGAGAGTATAGAGTAGCTATCGGGACTAGGGGGCCCCAATCCTCGCGGGGCCCTGGGCATGTGCCCAGTGTGCCCAGTGGAGAAGAGGGGCCTGGCCCTTTCGGCCGCTGCGGATTGCATGCCATCAATTACTAGCGCTTCAATGTGTTTGAACCTCCGTATATTACAATGGCAGGCAGTATAATTTCGCGGAAAAACAAGAAAATTCTTCACAAGAAGAAAAGCGCTTTTCCTTATGAAGTGCACACGTGCGTCGGCCAGGAAAATGCATGCAGTGTAAAATGGGAGAATGTCATCGTCACCATCTCCTGGTCTATATGTAAAAGTACTCATAAATGATGAATTAGGTATCATTATTGAGAAAAGTATTAATGAAAAACAGAAAACGTTTTTGGCCTTATATTAATAGGCAAGTTAATTCCTAAACTGAGCCAAAACACATTCCAGAGTGGTCCTAATAAAATGTTAACACGAACCAAATAGTTCTTTTAACGTCTCGACACGTTCGCTAACTATGCTAGCATCTTCAGAAGAAGATTAAAGAATGATTTACTTCATTCGCTCACTTCTTTTGATGTGTTTGTCCGCATCTCAAAAATTCACCGCCAACATTTACTATTCATTTATAAAGTGTATTCGATTGCATTCGGCCACTGGTTGTATTCTCATAACGCAAAGATACAACTATTGAATAAAATGGCAATTCAAAACATCAAATATTCCAGAAAACAGTTATACCAAAAGAATTTGAGATAAAATTCTGAGGAGATCACAGCCGGTAGCAGTTCTTGTAATCAAACACACTCTATGAGAAATAGTAATATCTTGTTTATAGAAAGCCGAAGATTGTTTATTTTTCACTGATCTTCCAGAATGGCTCCTTGACTCCTGAAAAGAAGAATCGCTCGAGGCCGCCAAGTTACACAGGTGGGGATTCACCTATAATATTACGCTCACGTTCATCCACATGCGATAGTTTACAGTTAGGAAGTAGTCCTAATAATATTAACAGACAAATGCCTCCTCCCCCTCCCACACAATTCAAAAAACCAGGTAACCATATTATCGTTTAGAAGTGTGTGTGGTACTCGTTACATTGTCGTCAGCTGTTCGTTTTATATTTTTTACGGAGGCTTTTTACATTTTTTTATACAGTGTTTTTCTTTAATGGTCCTCCCCCCTTAAATTTTTGAACGGGTCAACTGAAAGAAATGCAAGTGAAAATTTCAAGATGGCGACTGGGCGTCATATGAAAAAAAAAATCAAATGGAAAGGGGGTTCTTGTTGTGACACATCCTTTCTTTAGGACCTCGACAGCAAATCCAACGACCTGGAGAAGTATTAATCCAAATGGTCTCTGACTTGTCTGGAGTGATGTGGTGGTGCTCCATCTTGTTGGCATACAATATCATTATTAATATGTTTTTATTCAGGCAACCATTAAATGTTCCGTCATTTTGTAGTTGATGAATATATTGACTTTATATTCTAGGGTTGTGAAGTATTCGTGAGGAGCTTCAAAAGGATGTGTCACAAGAGTCACAAGACCCCCTTTTCCATTTAATTATTTTTCCCAAATGGCACCCAGTCGCCATCTTGAAATATTCATCTGTCAATTTTACTCCAAGATATAGTATTCATGCATCAATTTCATTATCTCAAGTTTCAATATTTTCAGTTGACCCGTGAAAAAATAAAGAGGGGGGGCATTGGAGAAAAGCACTGTATATTCGATTATTTATTAAAACAGCAGATTCTCTTAGCTTGAATGTTTCACGAGATAATTCGTGGCTCAAACTTCGTAGAACACCCTGTATTGATTTATCATCTGAAGTTCTTAGCCTTTGTTACTGGTGTGAAAAGGGTTAAATAGATTTTAAAATTCTCCCAACTAGAAATCAAATAAGAGAAGATAAAGAAAATTAGTATTTTCATTCACAATGTTTTGACGTTTCATATAGAAAACAGGCATATTCACTAGGTACGGGTAGGGGGCATTTTTTCGAGATTTTAGAATGGGAAATCTATTAACTAATAATCATCCATTATTCATTTCATAATATTAATAACTTCTTCTCTTTTTTCTCTATTCACATTTTTTCCTTGAATGGGCACATCTAATTTCTCTAGTCAGCGACAATGCATGCTTCCAAAAGTGGTAATTGATGAAAAAACAAAGAATTGTCTATATTTATATCAATTGTTTCATTGAAACAAATGTATTTCTTCAACTTTGTGAAAAGTCTCTGAGGAAATTTGTAACCTGCTTGATTGTGTGCATCCAATCTTTAATTTTTTATTTTCTTGAATCTGGTAGTGAAAAACTATATTCTGGATAATACTTCACACTCATCGCTCCAATGAATATTCCAAATTTTGAATCAGTAGCAGTAGTTTTTGCAACTGCATGGTGATTAGATAATTGATACTTGATAAAAATACTACAAATATAAGCAGTGGCAGATTTACATTACTGTTTTTTTCCACCACTAGCTCTATCACCTACCATTACTCACTCCGTTCTACGGTTTCGGAATATCAAGAACATCTGAGTAGCTAGACGGCTGCAAATGTTCATTCGGAACAGTTCGGAAAATTCCGACTGATCAGTGGAGAATGAGAGGAACAGTGGAACTGTGATTTGTTCTGGATTCAAAAAGAATATATGGAATATAAATTAATTTCAGACAGTTTTGAGTAGTTGAACAAAACTGAAACTATATGAAAATTACGAAAAACACACTTTACGCCATGAAAAGGAGTAAATAATGGTAGGTTATGTAGATAGTTTTGAAAAAAATATAATATACACTTTAGTGGTAAAGAATTATATTATCACGGGACCTTATATCCCTCGGCTGCTGATATTCTTCACTGACATAGTGTATATGTTACCGGACGAACCCGATTTTAGGATAAACTAGTTCTTCCGAGGCTAATTCAGTATAATTATCCGAAGAGCGATAGGATGAACCATATATCTACTACTCATATATGAAGCATAGCTGTCCTCAAAGCGGGACCAACTTCTGTCTCTATAGGTAACGAAATCGACCAATAGGCTTGATGCCGACGTAGGGAAAAAATAATACGAAACATGTCAAACCAATATGGCTGTTTCCATCCTTCACTTTCCGCCCTTATAGATTCAAAAAGTACCTTTCATTTTGGTCCCAATTTTGTTGAGATATCGTATAGGCGATGCGCCATATATAGAAATAGTAAATATATGGGATGAACTAGTTTGTTAATATTTTGTGAGGAAGGAACATACACCTCTATGAGTAGATCAATCGGGAACGTAGTCATTGAGTTTTTTTTCAATCAGCTTGACTTGTTCCCGAATGATCTACTCATAGAGGTGTATGTCCCTTCCTCACAAAATATTAACAAAGTAGTACGAAGTAGTTTACACTAGGAGAAACTAGTTCATCCTATAGCTCTTCGGATATACTGATTTAGCCTAGGAAACACTAGTTTATCCTAGAATCTGGTTTGTCCGGTAACATATACTAACTATTTTCATAGTCATCGTCCACAATAATAAAAAGAGAGCGGCTCCTATGCCGCCGCCCAGCAGTTCGATGCAGTACGGAACGTTGCCCAGTAGCCACAGCAGGACACCGTCCGATCCAATGTCATTTGGATACCATACTCTAAGTCATACTCATAAACGGTCACCCAGCAGTGATTCTAGTTCGAGTAGATCTGTGATACCAATTGGTGAGTACAGGGTTAATTGTTATATCCACGAATAATTATTTTTTTACTCACTTAACTTAAATGGCATTTAGCGTACTTTTGATTCATTATTTCAAAGCAAAATTGAAATTAACTAACATATGCTTGTCAAATCATAATTTTTGTCGGTTACTCAACCGAAAAGATACATATAATGATGAAGATGGAAAGCCCTAATTTCTAGTGACTATGGAAAATGAAAAAAACCCCGCGTGAGAGTCGAACTCACCTCTGGGTTACATACAACTCACAACCTCTGGGTTATATGCATGTAACCCAGAGGTTGTGAGTTCCACTTGCACGGAGGGCGGTGGAGTTTTTTCATTTTCCATAGTCACTCGAAATTAGGGCTTTCCATCTTCATCATTAAATTGAACTCTAACATTTATAGGTTAACTAATTGAGTACTAGTCTTCCAGAAAGTGCATAGGTCTAGGGAAATGAAACATTCGCTTAATTAAATGAATCACTTCAGTCCCGTGCTATACAGTGTATCCAAGATAAGGATGTCTATCATGTGGTAAAGTTGATGATGGTTTCTCCGAAACCAAACGTCGTACGGAAAATCTTTCAACGCTGTTTTGTAGAGCTTAGAAAGTGCCTTGTTTTCCTATATCTTTTTAAATAACGTCAGAAAAAAATATAAACGATTCCCATGATAGACATCATTTTGGACACAGTGTATAATGTACTTTAATGGTTCGATGCTATTTCTCAACTATCATAAACCAATGGTTCACTGATGCTCTAGAAGTTTTGCGGGATAATTCTCTCCACAAACACATCTACTTCATCTATAGCTACAAACAGTTAGTAGGGACTCGATTCTTTACGGATCCAAAAAATATAAGCTTTCAACAATATTATGCATGTTCTATCTCAATACATCGCTATTATGGACTTTGTCCACTTCAGCTTAGATCACCCATGTAGGATTTCCAATGCGTTTTGAAATAGGTTATTGTAGCCGCAGTCCACCAGCAAAAATTATAACAGATTCACGCGAAGGATAATCGAGTATTCATCTGGACTACTGTTCTCCTTTCCTGCAGCACAGCCTGCAGACTGTTCGCCATATGCACACTAAAATTTTCATTCTGACTGAGCATGCTAAAAGTGGAGACAGCTTGGATAAGAAATTGGGATAGAGGGGTCCAGGTGAATACTTGATTATGCATCGTGTATATCTGTTATATTTTGTGCTGGATATTGATGAAATTAATAAAGAAACAAAATTTCGTACACATCTCAAGTAGTCCAATCTTTGAGCTAGATGATCATGGTTGAACATTCCAACAAAAACTATAAGGGACAAATGTTTCGTATTGAAAAGGAATATTCTTAGATATATTATGAAAATTTATTTTTACAGACTTCTAATCACAGATTCGTGATTGGGTTCTCTCAATTCAGTTTTTTTCCTCTTTTCGTATGATGAACACAATTTCATGGTACACCTGATAGACACATGTTTTCTTTAAAACATATTTTCACGAATTTAGTCGGATCATGTGCAGTAAATCGATAACTGATAAATCATTGTAGATTGTATCTGTATATTTATTTTGTGCTGTTCGACTGGCTCATAAATCCTACATGTTGATAATTTTCTTCTAGATCTGTATTGTTGTTTGCCCTGGACTCATTCGAATTAATCTTCAACTCAATATTATGTAACTCCAAAATGATTATTTACGTGTTTGTCAATGTGACAGGCAACTTGACTTTCCACTTCATTTGCGATAACGACGATAAAGAACAACAGATATTAACACAGGCCCTACTAACCTTCAATGATACCTTTTCGAGATGAATTCTAAAAATACTGGAATAGACAATGAGAAGAAAAATAATTGTGGAACGTTCTGATTTCAGTATTTATTTAGTATTCTATTACATTTTGGATGATCTCTTCTATTGTCATTATTATTATAATATTTGATACTATATTGTATCATTCCTTTCAGGAAACAAACTAGTCATGGCAGACTGCAAGAATTCCGATAAATTTGCATCTGTGAGGAGACCTTTGAACCCTCCTCCCCCTGCACCTTCTAATAGACTGTCAAACGGAAGATCAACAGAAAGTATATCGTCGATGGCATCTGATATAGATGTAACAGGGATAACACATAACCCCATTCCCCCACCAAGAAGAGTGAGTACCTATACGTTTTTTATCTGCATATAATATGGCAGGATTTAATGTTGAATGTATATTTTTTCTTCTTGAAATGTTTATTGATTCATGGTCTATTATTTACACTCATTTTTATATTGAAATAATTCTTTTTTTTTGTATGTTTTGAGTGAGTAGTTATTTTTTTATCACTCATCGAACCTCCTGTTTCCAGTGATTTTAGTATTTTTCAAAAAGTATTACAACTTCTGAAATCTTTCTTCAGTCACCATACGTTATTATGTGTTATTTTTTATTAGGTATTCACTGATCTCTGAAAATTTATAAAGATTATGACACAATTAAGATACAAATTATGACGAAATTCCAGAGATATATTTTCAGAAATAGTGAAAACCTGTACATCGATAGGTGGTTCTGTATATTGTGCTTGGTTTGCAGAAACGGAAGTATCGTTTGGATAGTTTTACTGAGGATAGTGATTTTATTAATCTGGTAAAAAAGCAATTTGTGTATATTTGCTTCATAATAATTACCGCTAAGTGTGTTTTGGTTTAATAACATTTTTCCTTTAACATTTATAACCAGTGGAACATTGTTTGCATATCAATAGCCTGCAAACATCATAGGTTCCTGTTATGAAAAAAATATTCCCTCCATGAATAACATATTTTAGTATTTACTTTCGACATTTTTATCATTATCAATGCTACAGTTACAAGAAACACTAACACATGAGTTCGAATTTTTGTATGTCTATAAAAAATTATATTGGTCAATTGGTTTTTCCATTACTAGCTTCAAAATTATCATCTAATAAGAATTTCGGCATTCACGGTAATGGTACATTTTACCACCCCTAGCTCTAGAACCTCCAATTACTTTCTCCTTTTCAATTATATGAACAACTGGTATTTCATAGAGTTCCTTGATGGAAATTGACGTTAAAGTCATCTTAACAGGGTACGGACAGATTCTCGTCTCCTCTCACTCTAAAGTGTTTGTGGAACAATTATATAGTTCCATGCTTATTCAATTCTGGGGATAAACACTAGATTTTTGACATTTGTTGTTTTTTAGGTTATATTGAGGTCATTGGCGTATCATACGTAATTTCCATATGAAATTCCTGATTCAACTATACCAAGATATACTCCAGCATAATCTTTGCGAGGTGGGGAACATATAATTTGTACTAAAAGCTTAATATATTTCACCAAAAGAGACTGTTCTTAGACTTGGTTGATTGAATTGACTGAATGAATTCTGATTTCAAGCTGAGCAGTAGTTTGACTATGAGCTGAATGACCTGAGCCTTATGATTGAGAAATGGTAAAACCTCGATGTGGGTATCTGAACTACTGTACTCATGTCATGTGTGCTAAATATATTTCCGGAAATCCAACTCGGAGAAAAATTCATGGAGTGACTATTTCTAGGACGAAAAGTAGGCACGTTATTTACACTCTTGCATCCTACATATTTTCAATTTGTGGTAGAGTAATTATATAAAGTAATGTTAAAAGTGCAGTTTTGAGCAGTGGTTATTTGAATACCACTAGAAGTGAGATCTAGAGCCGATGCAGTTTTCGTGATATTTTCATAAAAAACTTCAGTGACCCACAATTTGGTTCGAAATATTTTGCTATTTTGTGAGAGATTGCTGCACATACCCTTCAGCGATATTCGTAGACTTCCAAGCAAGAATGTCTCCTCCAGAATTTGCAAGTAAACTTGCCGAGGTTCTTCTGAAACTATGCCCGGTATGATATATCGATGAAATCAGCTCTTCAGGGAGAATCATAAATTGCGATGAAATACAGGGTGTTCCGTTCGAAATATCAATGTTGCTACTACTTTCTAATAGAAGCGGCAACACTGCATTGTCGAACATATCTTAAATGAAAAGAGCGTATACCAAAATATAAGCATGCACATTTTCATGGATTTCTCCCGACTGATTCTCGATTTAAAGATAGTGTAAGCTAATATGATGAAAAATTGGGAAAATTTCTCTGCACTCACTAGTGATGCTTTGATGAAACAACACGATATCATTATTATTGAATCGAATGAGGAATACAAAAACACTATATACGAATCAATACTATCACTCAGTTTTAAGGGAACACTCAATTTGGAACGATAAATAATTCCTTTCGCGTATTTTTCGATGTCGATCACAAAATTCGACCGTATGTGATGACATCTAATATGAGACTGTCTTGATTTACCACCTGGTCCCGAATGAATGACTAATAAGTTGAATAATGCTGCTAACTGATTAATTTCCGAACGAATGATTTATCTATGACTAATGATGATAATGGAATTATACGGGGGGAAATCTATGACTTATGATGATGGAATTATACGGGGGGAAAAGATATATAATATACAAAATATAAGATGAAGTATTGAACACGGATATACTCTGACAGTATTATTTTCGAAAGTCTAATGATTGAACACAGGCTGAAAATATAATCTTTCCCAAAATCTCTAGATATGTTTCGATAACTGGAAAGAGTAGTAAAATAATGAACAATGTGAATAAATTTGACATTTGTGTGTGTGAAAATGTAATGAGCACACGAAAATGACTAAAATAATTGACAAATTATTCTACGGAACAAAATCTGGTTAGTTTTTTTTGATAAAATTGGATTTTGAATTACGAGTTCAATAAAAATTCTATTCTTCAAATTGGATGCGCACTGTTAAAAAGTAGACCAATTCATTGATTGTTCCTGCTCCTTGCAGATATCAGAACATATCTACAAAATTATAATATGGAGAGTGTTGTTATTGAGAAAGAAGAATTTTTCTGTTTTGCCTGAAGACGGGTCTGGATTCTAAATTCGATTCCCATTTAGTTTTGATGAGTGATATGAGTTGAATATACCTACCAAGTATGAATCGATTATACACAGTGGTTCAAAAGTTATGACCTGACAAACATAGATGATGATTTTGCCAAAATCGAGATTACGTTCTGTATCACAGTTATTAAAGATGGTAGATTCTTAAAAAAGTACAGTTTCGAACAGAAAGCACGAAAATCAGAAGAAAGCATTTCTTGATCGGAAAAAATACAGTTTCGAACAGAAAGCACGAAAATCAGAAGAGAGTATTTCTCGATCGGAAAAAATACAAAAAAACGGTACGAAACATACAGGGTATATGTCACGACAAGCTTACACTATCTCTATATCGAGAATCAGTAAGTAACTTCATTTAAAATAATTTCAGCAATGCAGTGTTGCCGTTTCTATCAAAAAGTAGCAACAACTTTGTTATATAATCTTTGCGAGGTAGGGAACATATAATTTGTACTAAAAGCTTAATTTATTTCAACCAAAGAGACTGTTCTTAGACTGTATACCAGGGTTGACTGAATTGACTGAATGAATTCTGATTTCAAGCTGAGCAGTAGTTTAACTATGAGCTGAATGAGCTGAGCTGAATTTGTAATAGAGGAATAATTATATAAACTAATGTTAAAAGACAAATCATGAAAATCATCCATTTTCTCAAAGTGGTCCACAGTATTTTCAAGAAGAAAAAAACTAGGGGCTCAAAGTCGGTCGACCACACTTCAAGTGTGGTCGACCGACTTTGAGCCCCTAGTTTTTTTCTTCTTGGTAATGTTAAAAGTGCAGTTTTGAGCAGTGGTTATTTGAATACCATTAGAAGTGAGATCTGGAGCCAATGCAGTTTTCGTGATATTTTCATAAAAAACTTCAGTGACTCACAATTTGGTTCGAAATATTTTGCTATTTTGTGAGAGATTGCTGCACATACCCATCAGCGATATTCGTAGACTTCCAAGCAAGAATGTCTCCTCCATAATTTGCAAGTAATCTTGCCGAGGTTCTTCTGAAACTATGCCAGGTATAATTTATGACATCAGGCAGTTTTAAAAATTCTGCAATTTTTTTATGAATTTAAGCAATAGAATTCTTACCAACCATTTGGTAGATACATTTCCCTGCTCTATAGCAGAAAAATAAAAGTGTCTGGTATATTTACTATTGGAGGGAGAAAAAGTTGGGGAGAACAAGTACTTTTCCTCCCTAGGGAAGAAAAGTACGAGTTTGCTCCCTACATTGAGGCAAGGAAATGTTTACTTTGGATAGAGGTAGGTAGTGCATTCAAAAATTTGTAGGGTGAAAAGCACAAAGAAAAAGTATACGTGATTTTTTATCATTTTTACCTCGCATATTTTGCTCAATTTACCGATTTTCCAGTTCGGTCTCTTCATGTTCACTTTCCATGTTTTGAGTTTATCTTCATCTCTTGGAAAGCTTACAAATTGAAATTTGCCATCTAACTGATTGGCACAGCCTAACACAGCACATTTCGATATTTTTTTCAAAAAAGAATAGGAAAATATCGTATTCAGTAAATAATATCCTTATTTAATCGTAAAATGTTTTTATTTTCTTGAATTTCATAATCATTAACATTCAGAAATCATTTGACACTGTCAATATTTTCTTCATTCAACAATATACAAAGAGTATTGGGAACGAATAATAAATATCATTACTAGATCACAAGCTGACTTGGCAAACGTTGTTTTGCTATTTCTAGGAAATATTCTTTTAGTTAAATATTTACCAGCACACTTTATTTATTTCATTTTCTACTTCTTTTCAGTTCGGCTATTCATAAAACCGTGTTTCTTTAGTTTTTCAAGATACTATTCATTTTATACTCGTTTTCAGCTCGGCAATCTATCTCTTCAGTTTTTTAAACTACTTTTTATGTTCTACTTCTTCTTAATTCGACTAAGTATCTACGAACGCGTGTTCAATTGATTTTTCAAACAACTATTTATTACAAAGCTCGTTCGCCATATTAGATTCGCCATCTTGAATATCCCAATTTTGACAAAAAATCATGAAGTACGACCCCGAGAACCCCCGATACCAAACTTTAATAGAATCAAATCATAATTAGAAATGTCTTTCGCCATATTCGATCCGTCATCCTGAATTTTACAATTTTCACGAAACAATCATTATCTCCTACCCCGAAAACCCCCAGATACTAATTTTGAATAGAATCGGATCATAATTACAAAACTCGATCCCCATATGATCTTCCTCAACAAGTAAATACCCTGTACATACCTATTATTAAAATTTTGAATGATTTTCTGTAGCGCCCATGGACGTGACGTGACAGCAATGTCAGAGATGCCAGTAGACAAAACTAAAGTCTCTAGATCATTGAAAAAGAATGCAGCTATGATCTGTCCGTACCCTGTTAGATGACCCTAGTATTTCACTTCCAGAATTGTTTTTTTCATGTTATCAACTAGTAGTTCATATATGGTTTTCATTAAATACATGTAATAATTCACATAAGTTCTTTGAAGATATAGTTTTTCCAAATGTTTGTTCGTTAAGTACTCATATTTGTTCAGCTAATCCATTTATTTGAGTTTTGAGCAATCTAAAAAAATGAGAAAACATGCTTTCTTTGAAATAATATGTAGATGAAGCTATCGAATGATTTTTCACTAGTTCTTTGATGATCGAAAAATTTATTGAATTTATGTATGAAGCAAATCTTCATGACAAATGTGAAAAATTGGTTATCTTATGAAATTGTCCAAAATATTATCGAACGTTTGTTAGAAAATGCATTGTTTAATTCAATTAAGCAAAACTAACCATACAAGTTGAGAAATTGAGAATAATTCGAAAATAGAATCCTGCAAAATTGAAATTGAAAATTAGAAAATGTCATAAAAATCATTCAACAAGTTACATGATTTTTACATAAATAAATAAACAAAATGTTGTACACATCTCAAGTTGTTAAATCTTTCACCTAGATGATGGTTGAACATTCAAACAAAAATTATAAGGAACAAATGTTTCATATTGAAAAAGAATAGTCCTAGATATATTATGAAAATTTATTTTTACAGACTTCTAATCATAGATTCATGATTGGGTTTTCTCGATTCAGATTTTTTTAATACATTTTATATGATAACATCATTTCATCGTACACCTGATAGACAAATGTTTCCTTTGAAACATATAGTTTCACAAGTTGAATAAGCTCATGTGAAACCACTGTTAAAAAACGACTACTCTGAAATATTTCATAAAGCTCCTAATTATTTTTTCTGTAACTGTAACTGATATTCGTTGGTGTTATTGTTTGTTCACTTTATCCAAGTTGTTTCATCAAGGGTGGCGTTTTTTTACAGGCGAGCTTATTTTTCATTGAAACTTTTTTGTTGCTATTCTCAAAAACAAGTATATTTTTGTATCTATTTTCTCAGAATATTTCAACAAAACAACGTGTCTCTTTGTGCTCCAGTCTTCCGACTCCCCGACCCACCTACCGTCCTCCAGCCCGATATCCACCGGCTCGCTGTGCTCGCCCCGCTCAATGGCCGCGGGCCGTCTGTCGTACGCCGCGAACGGCAGCGGACTGCGCAGGTGCAAAGCGCTCTACGACTGCGCGGCTGACAACGACGACGAGCTGTCGTTCCAGGAGGGCGAGATCATCGTCGTCGTCAACGAGCACACGGACGACGACAACTGGATGGAGGGGATGGTGGAGAGCGAGCCGGAGCGGACCGGCATGTTCCCCATCAGCTTCGTGCATATGCTGCCGGACTAGGCGGCGCGCAGCTGAGCTCGCTACTGCGCTCTACGACTGCGCGGCCTACAACGACGACGAGATGTCAGGAGAGCGAGATCATCGTCGTCGTCAACGAGCACACGGACGACGACAACTGGGTGGTGGTGGAGAGCGAGCCGAATTGTAGACTGAGAGCTGGCTACATGAGTTTCAACATGACTCGGTACAGTCACAATTTCCTTCTGGGATTGTTCTATTTATGATGTGGAACACTAAGGCGCGAGTCTGCCTGGTCGGTCTGGGGGGTAATCGACGTCATTAGTACAGTCATGAAATTTCGTGTACATATAGTATGTGACGTCAGAAAAATAGTTTGATAATTGGCAGACTGTTTTCCGGGGGCTAAAGTGCCGGCAGGCCGCGTCAAAGTTGCGAAAAAAATCGAAAAATCAACGTGATAAGATGAAGTCTTGAAATTAGGTGTGCGTATTGATCATATATCAACTTGTTTTCATGCTGAATGGCAGACCAAAAAGTGAAGGATAACACCATGGCAGACAGCGATAAACCTACAGGGTGTACTAATGACGTCAGTTACCTTCGAAACTCTGCAACTTTCCCCGCTCGCCCCCACATAATTCCCCCAGACCGACCAGGCAGACTCGCGCCTTAGTGTTCCACACCATAAATGGAACCATTCCAGAAGAAAATTTTGACTGTACCGAGTCACGTTGAAACTCAAGTAGCCATCTCCTAGACTATTAGGCGGCACGTAGCTGAGCTCCCGGCTATTTGTGTAGAAGTAAAATATATATTTTTTGATGTGGAAGGTCTGAGGACTAGATGTAATAGAGGATTATCTACAAGGTTGTTCGGTACCGAGTATCATAGATTGAAATGCTCGTGGATAATGCTAAGTTATGAAGGAAGTTCGAATACATACTTCTATGAGAATGTCTTCACCGCATGAATCTTAAACGAAATGTCGAAAGGTTGCTAGTTGGATTCCCGACATAGCGGAGGGCGATTATTTATGAAACGAGTTGCAAATTCTGAATTTCGTAGCCTTGGCTGTAGATGATTCTGTACGATTCACTGTTGCGTTCCCATGTACAGTGCCGCTACTACTAAGGTAGCGCTTGGAGTCAGAAACAAAGCTCACACAGGACATACATGGGAACAGAGTTGACCAGTGCTTCTGATTCTCAACTTGACAATTTTTGATCAATAAAAAATCAGAATGGGTGTTTCTAATGTATGTCACTTTTTCTGCTAACCAGAAGGAAATGTATGCTTGTGAAAATTTGATTGGATTCACCATTTTCAAGTAGAAATACTGCCTTCTGAAACAAATTTCATATGTTTTCATGATTTCATTATTGCGGCTTCCTGAACCTAGTGAAATATAGAATATATATATGAAATATAGTATTGAAGTAGCACAAATAGCAGCGTATTTATTATCTATTTACTAATGGATTCTTTCATTGTCTAGGGCTTGCATTGGAAATAGAAAATGAATGATAAAATTAGAAACAAATCAAAATACCCAGAAAACCTGGAGACAGTTTTGATTTTTTCTCGAAAACTGTACGCCCTATCAAAGTTTGATAAAGTATAACATCCTTGTTACAATTGGGTGGTAATTAGAAAAAGTTGTGAGAACACCTATTCGGTTTTTTTGTAGGTTTGAAAGGTGTCATGTGATCCCGGAATTATGCTTCTGCGTGCTTTCGTTCTACCCGAATTTTTTCCAATGCCTGCTGATTTTAAAAATAACATGAATATAGAAAAAATACGTATCATTGGTCCACTATGTGAAAAGATATTACAATGTAACTGTTTCTTCAGCCGATACTTTACATCCTTCACCTTGGTAAAGACCTTTTCAGAGAAAAATGTATTGGAACTATCAACATAATTTATGGTTCTTATCACTGAATCACCTTGTATTATACTAACACTCGCTAGTAATTTACGACATGTATTTTGTTCAATTTGCGGAAAATTAACGTTGTTAGAAATGTTAAACACTTTCTCAACTTTCAACTGTTGTTGAAATTGGTTATGTAATAGCAACATGTTTTCGAATAAATAATTCCAGGAAATTGAAATGTTCCAGAATTTTGACAAGAATTTCGTGATGCTATTACAAGTGTTTCAAATCTCTGGTACAAAATAAGTTGATGTTGAAACATGATTTAACTACAAACTGTTTGAACAAAATGATGTTGGATGTTCAAATAAAATTATTTTCGCCCTCAGTAATCTTTGAGTTCTTGTATCCATGGGATTCCTATATACATCTACACATTATACATCTATACAGGGTGTAACTTGTGTAAGTAATGATATAGAAATCTACAGGGTTTTGCGAAATTCGACCGACAACGCTTCTTTTTTCTCCAGATTGCCAGGTCACACCTTGTATATTGTTATTATATTCACAAGTGATTCACGAGCTAGGATGCTAACGGCCTAGTTCATTACAATTTGCTCAGTTGAAAGTTGATCAAATATACTGAATAGTAATATTTTATCCAATGAACTGTTTTGTGTAATATATCATTTTTGTACAATTGTGTTATGTATATTTCGATTGCTGGTCGCCATAAATATTTATTGATGTCCACGAGGTTTCCATAAGAAACATCCATACTTATCTATTGGACATTTCTTGTGGCCCATTGTAAGCAGTATAGGATGAACAGCAAAATGAATTTTGTATGACTGGAATATATCTTGAAAGGAAACTATATTAGCGAGGCACATATAGTAAGGATCTTGACTGCTGAAATACTGAACGATTTTTCGAAAATTTTACTCGTCATTGATGTTTCGAAATGATTGAAATTAGAATTACATAATGTAACCATTCAGGTCCGTTTAGTTTTATCAAAGAATAATTCATTATGTGTGCCGTTGAATCTGCAGTATTATTTATAGTTTCCAGAATGAGTAATCAGACGAACACATTAATTTTCCAGTTTATCAAAAAATCACTTTGCTCTTCATGATTAGTTCAATCTGCCATAGATATTTTATTATTATCTCTATTTTGTAAATATGATTCCTTTGATGATTTTGAAAACAGTAATGTTAATATCAGGTTGTTATTGAAGCCGGACCATCCCTTTGTTTTCAAGTCAATCAAGATGAAATGTGAATTTTGAGTCCATAGTAAGTACCGTTCATTTATACCGTTTTCCTCATTAGGTATTTTCATATTCATTCTCCGATTTTTCGTATCGTCAGCACTGAACTATTAACAACAAATGGAAAATCAAAGCTAGTTCTCAGTTTAATGACAAGTTGAACTCGCGCATACCACGTGATCGGCTTGGAAAACTTGGTTGATGAATATATGTGTAGGGCGTTTATCGTACTGAGCCGGCCTTGGATAATTCAAAACATACCACTGATACTGCAGTTATACAAATAAACCAGGAGCTGGTGACAGGTGACATTCTCCCATTTTACAAATTATGCGTTTTTAAGGCTTTATAATTAACCCCAAACTATGAATAATATTCGGGTTCCTGGCCGCCGCACTTCATAAGGAAAAGTGCTTTTCATTTTGTGCCTGCCGTTGTAATATACGGATGGTCAAACAAATTGAAGTGCCAATAATCGATGGCATGCAATTGAGGTCTTTTCTATCTTCAACGAGAGAGGAAAGTTCTCTCTTCTTCCATCTTTCTCTTCAATGATACCAACGTAGCCACATTGAAATATAGAGAGGTCCGATAAATCGGTCCTTGCATTACATTTAGTTTGTCCCACTGAACTATAGAAGAAGATAAGTATGATATAATTCGAGATTTCATGAAAAAAATTCGAGAGATTATCAGTCAATGAAATTTATGACAAAGACATGTCAAATCGTTATATCATCAAAAATAGTTCAGTGGCGCAGAGTAGACGATAGACAAGGAAAGATTCATCGGATCTCTCTATACTTCAATGTGGCCACGTTGGTAGCTCTGAAGAGAAAGGTGGAAGAGGAGAAAACTTGCCTCTCTCTCGTTCGAGGTAGAATGGAGCTCAATTCGCAACGGTCGAAAGGGTTACGAAAAACTGAGGAAAATCAAAGATGAAGTCCTCTTTGATTTTCTACAGTTTTTCGTAACCCTTCTGAGCCCTTTCGTCGTGAAATGATAATATACTCTGCTTTCGGCCGCTGCGGATTGCATGCCATCAATTATTAGCGCTTCAATTTGTTTGAACTTCTGAATATTACAACGGCAGGCAGTATAATATCACTTGTCACTAGCTCCTGGTCTAAAACGAACTTCACAAGATCGATGATAGAACAGCAAAACACTAACAAAAATACACATTATGCACAATATACCAAACACAACGTAAAACTGGCTGACGGACGATCGATTATGAGATTACAGATAGAATCTACGACAAGTATTGGGTGGACCAATAGTGTGACAAAGCGAGATTGCAGCTCTGCTATCAGAGATGGAAGAGCAAAATTTTACAGGAGTTGTAGGTCCAAGAGATGCATATTTCGAATTATCCTCCATTATACAGTTTGTCTCCAAAAAGTGTGACATATCAAACTTATATTTTTTTGAATGCAACACCCTGTATTTCATTCCATTTTTATATTCTCGCTGAAGAGTTGAACTCAACGATCTAGCACACTTGGGATCTAACGGGAATGATTACCGAGATATAGGGTGTGGAAAATCGAGATTTTTCAACTTCGAAAATTTCAGGGGTCGAAACAATTCATCATTGGTCAAAAAGACTTTCATGTCCCTTTACTTTTGATTCACTATCTACTCATATTTAATTGGAACAGATACAAAGTGGTGCAGAACTCAGAATTCTACACGACCCTGTATTTCTTTCAATTAATTGTCAGTAAATAGTAAATTAAAAGTTGAGATAGGGACCTGAAAGTCGTTTTGACCAATAATGAATAGTTTGGTCACAAAAAATTTCCAAATTTGGAAAATCTCGAATTTCCACATCCTATATCTCGGGAATCATTCCTGCCAGACCCCAAGTGTGCTAGATCGTTGAATTCAGCTCTTCAAAGAGAATATAAATATGCAATGAAATACAAAGTGTTTCATTTAAAAAACATAAGTTTGATATGTCACACTTTTTTCAGACACACTGTAGAATGGAGAATGATTTCGAAATATGCATCCCTTGGACTACAACTCCTGTAAAAAATTTGTTCTTCTATTTCTAATAGCAGAGTTGCTATCTCGCTTTGTCACACTATTGGTCCACCCTGTAGAAAGACCTAACAAGACTCCAAACCAGAGATCAAAAACATTCTTACATCTTACAATTTTTTAGTGACTGCCTGGAGGCACAACATTGAAAAACAACCTCACTTTTCTTATTTGTTCACAAGTATTTGCAATAGTTTTTCACAATTATTTTGGCATAGAAATCGTATTATTTGGCTATTCATCAATTCGCTCATGCCATCACATTGTGCTGTTGTACAATGCACAAAAACTGCAGCGGAAGACGAAGGAATCCGGTTGGTACATTATGATTTAAAAGTAATTACCTACTATAGTCACTCACATATAGTTTTCATTTTTTAAATTTGGTAATTTCTGAATTCTCATCGGAATTCCTTCTGCAATAGGAGCTAATAGAAATACTCGTGAAGTTTCTAAAATAATGCAAGAAGATTAGATTCATGCAATCAAACGGGAGGACTGGTCTCACATGCTGACGGAATATGATCGTGTGTGTTGTAAACATTTTCAATCTATTAGCAGTATTAGATTGTATTACAGAAGTGGCAGAAGGAATTTTAATAAGGAATGACAATATTTCATAATGAAAACTATGTGAGATTACTATTTACCTGAAAAATCATATTTCTTCGTCTCTCGCTGCATTTTTTGTGCATTGTACAACAGCTTAATGCGAAGGCATGCTTGAATTAATGAATAGCGCAAAAAACACGATTCGTATGCCAACATATTGTGAAAAACTATTTCAATCCTTTGATTCCTCTGTAAACAAATGGAAAAGTGAGTTTGTGTTTCAATAATTCACAGGAAAGTGAGGTTGTGTTTCAATATTTAACCTTCAGGGTCGGTCATCGTGCACGCGAGCTATACGTGCTTCTCGCATTCTCACGTATTATCCTCCCATTTTTTGTTTGCCAGTGATCGACAGATTTTACATGGTACCTAAAGTATAAGATTAAGAAAAAAGGTATCGAAAAAGCGAAGTTTGACTTATTATGAACTCACAAATCAAAAGTTACAGGGCTCCTAGGTCTGGTCGACACCTGATATGTATATATTTCCAATTAAAATTTGCATAATTTATTTTGAAAAAATCATGTATGTGTAATTGTATATTTTTGTAGAAATCTATTTATATATGAATCATGTGTTGAATATTGTGAAACCAAAGAAAAGTATTTATCACTTCAAAACATATATGAATTTAACTGTAATGTTCGCCAGTGTATATCAGTTTTAGGGTATCTGTTGATGATTTTAAATTTTCATGAATTCAGTGGCAGTGAAATTGGGCCACGTCCCAGATTAAGCATTGAACCAAAAAATAATCCCATGTAATGAGTGGGCAATCTGTAGTTGAAATATTTTTCTAAGATATCGATATTTTTTTGTAGAGATTTAGAAAGAGTAAATATAAAATGATATTGGGAAAATTCAAATAGTCAACATTGTTGACCAAAAGCTTAATCCGATGATTTAACACTGCTGCTAAAACTGTTCATTGTCCATGGAGAAAATTAGTGTCATAACCTACTGCATTTAACTCAATTTATTCCTATTCTCGAAAACATGTGTTATTGTTATTTCAAAGAAACGAAGAGGCTCACCCTTGTCTTTTTTCAGTCTTCACGTTTATTTTTCTGTTGATTGGCTTAGCGTAAATTTTGGCCTTTCTGAAGATACAGGGCGGTCAAATAAAAAGTGCATTTCTGATGAACAAATTGCCTTTTCAAAACATTTACCTTTTTTTCAACAATATCAGAGATCATCCTCAGCAATGAGTTTCAAAATTGTGAAATTCCCATTATTTTCGACAGATTAATGAACATTTTGTGCATACTGACTGGGGTACCATCTAAACTATGTTTAAGTCAGTACACAAACATGCAGTTCATGTTTAGTTATCTAGGCTTTTGATGTACCTATGTAATTTCTTAATGATAGCCAGATGTATTTTACTGTCGAGTATTGATGCTGTTTTATAAATACTCAATAAAAATGTCTTTGATTTTTCATGAGTTTTAATTTCTTCAAATGGGTGCCACGACTTGAACAAATTCTCAGTAAACTTCCATAGACCTTTCGAATAAATTTGTGAGGTCCTCTTCAGATTGCTGTTTTGGTGCCATTTTGGTGATCCTTTCCTGTAAAAAATGATTTTCAATCAATCATTTGATAAATATATAAAGTTTTCAGAACAATTTTTACATTTTTTAATATAATAAGCTCGAAAACTGAGAGATCACTCTGTACCTATGCGATTTTTCAGCCCATTCTGACAACTTGAACTAGAATAGAATTAATACTCCTTTTTTCTGCTCCACTAATCCTCAGATTATGAAGATTCGCATTTTCGATCGTCCACCCCCCAAAAATACAATACCTCTTCTCATTTCTGCTCTCCTGTCTCCTGATACCTGAATTTAGAATTTTGCCTTTTTGGAACCCGAATTTGCATTTTCGATTGACTATTCAATATACCTCTCCTCATTTCTGCTCTCCTGATTCACGAATTTAGATTTCTGCCTGTTCGAAATAGATAGACTTATTCAATACCTGTTCTATTTTCTGCTCTCCTGATACATGAATTCATCGAAAATACAAATCCGGATTCGCATTTTCGATAGACGAATGAATCAATGCCTAATAATATTCTCAGTTCTGCTCTCCTGATTTTTGCCTGCTCGATATCCAAATCTCATTTCTGCTCTCCTGACACCCAAATCTTGATTTTTGCCAGTTTGAAACCCGGATTTTCATTTTCGATAGACCCGGATTCGATTGACGATTTGATACCAAAAACTTCTCATTTCTGCTCTCCTGATACACGAATTTGGATTTCTGCCTGTTCAAAACCCGGATTTTCATTTTTGATAGAAGAATCAATACCTCGATCTTCTCAATTCTGCTCTCCTGATACCTGAATTTAGGATTTTGCCTTTCTGGAACCCGAATTCGCGTTTTTGATAGACGATTCAATACCTCTTCTCATTTCTGCTCTCCTGATTTACGAATTTAGATTTCTACCTGTTCGAAATAGGATTTGACGTTTTTGAAAGACTTATTCAATACCTGTTCTAATTCCTGCTCTCCTGATACATGAATTCATAAAAAATGCAAATCCGGATTCGCATTTTCGATAGACGAATGAATCAATGCCTCATATTCTCAGTTCTGCTCTCCTGATTTTTGCCTGCTCGAAATCGAATTTTGCATTTTTGATAGACAGATCAATACCTCTCTTTCCATTTCTGCTTGCCTGATAACCAAATCTCGATTTTTGTCTGTTCGCATTTTCGATAACAATTCCTCTTATTCTTATTTATGCTCTCCTGATACACGAATTCAGGTTTAAAGCCTGTTTGAAAACCGGATTTGATGACGATTATCAATACCTTTCCTATTTTCTTGTCTCCTGATGATGATACGTACCCGAATCTCGATTTTTGTCTGCATTCTCGATAGGCTAATACCTCTCCTCATTACTGCTCTCCTGATATCCAAATCTCGATTTTTGCCTGGTTGAAAACCGGATTTGCATTTTCGATAGACGACTCGATACCATTTCTCATTTCTGCTCTCCTGACACCCAAATCTTGATTTTTGTCAGTTTGTGACCCGGATTTTTATTTTCGATAGACGACGATTCGCCGATACCTCTTCTCATATATCTGCTCTCCTGATACCCAAATCTCGATTTTTTTCGGTTTGAAACCTGAATTCGCATTTTCGATAGACGAATGAATCAATGCCTCATATTCTCAGTTCTGCTCACCTGATTTTTGCGTGCTCGAATGCTCGAAATCGGATTTTGCATTTTTGATAGACAGATCAATACCTCTTTCCATTTCTGCTTGCCTGATAACCAAATCTCGGTATTTGTCTGTTTGAAACCCGGATTCGCATATTCGATAGGCTATAATCAATACCACCTCTCATTTATGCTCTCCTGATACACGAATTCTAATTTTTGCCTGTTCGAAACTCGGATTTGCATATTATAGATAGACGATTATTCAATACCACTTCCCATTTCTGCTCTCCTGATACACGAATTTATATTTTTGTCTGTTGGAAACCCGGCGAGGCCACTTCTAATTTCTGCTCTCGTTTTTGACTTTTGCCTACGAAATTTGCATTTTTGATAGACGATTCAATACCTTTCCATTTCTGGCCGCTATCCTCTGATACCAAAATATCGAGTTTCGCCAGTTTGATAGCATTTTCGAAAGACGATCGATTCAATACTTAATTATATGCCTCTTCTCATTTCTTCTCTCCTTATACGCGAATCTCGAATTTTGCCAGTTTGAAACCCAGATTTGCATTTTCTCTATAGACGATTCAATACCTCTTCTCATTTCTGCTCTCCTGATACCCCGATTTGGATTTTTGCCTCTTCCAAACCCAGATTTTTATTTTTGATAGACGAATCATACCTCTTATTCTCATTTCTGCTCTCCTGACACCCAGATCTTGATTTTTGCCAGTTTGAAACCCAGATTTTCATTTTCGATAGACGACGATTCATTACCTCTTCTCATATATCTAATGCTCTCCTGATACCCAAATCTCGATATTTTTCCGTTTGAAACCCGGATTCACATTTTCGATTTGATACCAATAACTTCTCATTTCTGCCCTCCTGAAACACGAATTTCGATTTGTGCCTGTTCAAAACTCGGATTTTCTTTTTTGTGGAAGAATCGATACCTCTTCTCAATTCTGCTCTCCTGATACACGAATCTCGATTTTTGCCTGTTGAAACCCGGATTTTCATTTTCGATAGGCGATTCAATACCACCACTTCTTATTTCTGCTCTCCTAATACCCAGATTTTGATTTTTGTCTGTTTGAAACCCTGATTTGCATATCGATAGACGATTCAAAATACTTACCTATACATATACCTACCTCTTCTCATTTATTCTTTCCGAATACGCTAATCTCGAATTTTGCCTGTTTGAAACCCAGATTTGCATTTTCGATAGACGATTCAATACCTACCTCTTCTCATTTATTCTGATCTCCTGATACACAAATCTCGATTTTGCCTGATGGTTGCAACTTGGATTTGCATTTTCGATAGACGATACCACTTCTCATTTCTACCCACCTGATAAACGAATTTGGATGTTTGCCTGTTCGAAACCCGATTTTCAATTTTTAATAGACGCATAATATCGATACCTCTTTCCAATATTCTGCTCTCCTACACCCAAATCTCGATTTTTGACTGTTGGAGACCCGGTTTTGTATTTTCGATAGACGATTCAATACACCTCCTTCTCATTCTGCTCTCCTGATACTGAAATCTCGATTTTTTTCTGTTTGGAACTAGGATTCTCATTTTCGATTTGATACCAATAACTTCTCATTTATGCTCTCCTGATACACGCATTTAGATTTCTGCCTGTTCAAATCCCGGATTTTCATTTTCGATAGACGATATTCAATATCACTTCCCATTTCTGCTATTCTGATACACGAATTTAGATTTCTGCCTATTCGAAACACGGATTTTCATTTTTGATAGAAGAATCAATACCTCTTCTCAATTCTGCTCTCCTGATACGCCAAATCTCCATTTTTGCCCGGTTTTGCACTTTCGATAGATGATTCGCAATATCTCTCCTCATTTCTGCTCTACTGATACACGAATTCAGATTTTTGCCAGTTAGAAACCCGGATTTGCATTTTTGATAGACGAATCAATACCTTTTCTCAATTCTGTTCTCCTGATACCCATATCCCGATTTTTGTCTGTTTGGAACCCGGATCTGCATGTTCCATAGACGATTTGATACCTCTCTTCTGCTTTTCTGAAACGCGAATTTAGATTTTTGCCTGTTTGAAACCCGGATTTGCATTTTTGATGGACGAATCAATACCTCTTCTCATTTCTACTCTTATAATTATTTATTTTCAATAATATTCTCATCCTGAAGATGCTGAAATAGTCAGCGAAACAGGTGTCGAGGCGTTAAAAAATCAGTTAAGGGTGAAACAGTGTAATGTGAATATCGTGCCAAAGGTTGTTCAGTCTTTGACGTATCTTGAATTAGTTGAGAAATTTTACAAAATGGTTAACAATTCCAGCAATATTCATTTCTGGAATGCAATTTCACTTTATTCCGTTATTGTCACTCGAAACTAGGGATTTCCATCCATTTTCATCAGGTACATAAGACTTGTATGTACATAACGCACCTGTGGAAGAGTTCCTTTTACCAATTGGGGGATGTCATCTCTCGAGAATCCCAATGCAGTTAGGCCATTCTCAATTTTCATAATACTCATGTACTTTCTCACAGTATCAGACAAAATCTTTCCTGCATCAGCTTTCCTTCCATTTCGAATATCAGCACCCAAAATTTCCGCCGCTTCCAAATGTCTTTCAGGGCATGTTGGAGCAATGAACTCAAAAACAGCCGGAGCTGTGATTACTACTGAGAGACCATGTGGAATTATTGGGTGATCATCACTAAAAAATATAGATCTACTTATAAAGTGTCATTTCAAACAACCAGAGAATAACTATAGCAGAAATGATGACATAAATATTGAATATATTGCAGAATCAAAAATCAACCTATCAATGTTCACAAATAAAAGTGGGATGGAAGGAGTTAGTTGTGATAGTGCAATGATCAATAATAAACAGTGAAAAAGGAATTGGACTCAGCACTGTTATATTAATTGTTGTTATGCAGAACCTACCTATAATCAGTGGGAAAGAAGTTTCGGACATTTCCAGAAATTGGATATGATAGTCCATGAGGTAAATGTACTCCTGCATTCCCAAACCCTACTCCAGCCATAGTTGAAGCCAAAAGCATCTGTGACCTCGCTTCTATGTCATCTGGACGGTACACTGCCCTAAAAGTATCAGAATAACTTTGTAGTAGGTACCTATTCTTCCTTGCTTGCTGATCTGTTTCGCTGGTACCTACCACAAGAACAAAATTATTTGGTGTTAGGTACCTTTCCAGTCTTACCTTTCGAAAAATTTTCTGATGACATCCAAACAAAATCTAGCCCAAACATCTGAAACTGGGTTTCTTCCCTGAAATGTTGGCCTAGATTTTGGATTCTCCGGACAAGGAGATCTTTCGTCAAAAGGGATAGCAGTAAACGATTCGAGTGCATGACATAATATGTCAAATCCAGAATAAGCAGTTACTCTTTCTGGCAAGGTCAGAGTGTGAAGTGGGTCAATGATACCGAGAGTAGGTCTCAAAGATCTGTGTGATATGCCAGTTTTGGTTCTGAGAGGCTCGTAGTCGAAAACGCTTACGCCAGTAGTTTCACTGCCAGTTCCAGAAGTAGTGGGAACTAAAAATGTTCGATATTTATATCATTTTGAATTTCGAAATCATGTTTCCACAGCCAAGTTACTGATGTAGTTTATTTCTTCTTGATATCAATTCATATGTTATCACTTCAAAAGAGTCATCGTCTTTGATGAATTTAATATTGGTAGGACGAAGGATGTTATACTTACTAGCAATCAAATGTTTGAGTGTGACATCAACAAGTTTTCCTTTTCCAATAGGTACATTCACGTAATCCAAAAAGTTTGCCTCTGGATCACACGAATAAAGATTAGCTGCCTTAGCAGTGTCCATGACTGATCCACCTCCAACAGCAATAAAGGAGTCAAAATTTTGGAATTTGACAAACTCGATTGCATCGATCATACTACAAATACATCAATCGAAACTTAACAAGAGAATATAGGCATATAATCAAACTTCATTGACCGTTTGCCGCAATTATTAATATATTAGACGAAAATATGTGACTCTCATAGGAGATACTTTTCTCTGAATATATATTTTTTTTATTAATATTTTTTTCTATTATATCAAGCACCAAAACATCAATTACTAAGATGTATGGAATTTCATTCTATTATGAAACGTTTCGAATAAGAGTAGTAGTAGTATATGTACTTCGTTGGTATGTGTATGTACATACCAACTGGCTATCGGTCTTACGAGAGGTCTTCCAGCCCATGTGTGTTCTGTGCAGGCTTTGTTACTGGCTCCATACGCCAAATGGGTATTGGATTTCTATAAACTATAGGAGGTTATTTATTGAAATTCACCTCTTTTCGGTTGGTTCAACTCGACATTTGTCATAGACTTGAAATTTCACACCATTTCTAGTTAAAGAGTCGATAGTGGTTTTGACTGGTTGGAGATCAACTAAGTACGGATCTGTCATCACACAAACATTCTTTGCTTTAATATTGACCAAGTCCATACCAACTTCTCTGGTGACTCCTTTTCCATATCGTACCGTTGAAGAGACCATCTAAAATTTCAAGTCAAGGTGTTTCGAAATATTTTCACGTGTAGAATACACTTCTGCGTCTACCCTGTATACTATATTGACTCACTTCGAAAGCATAATCTTTGGAAGGCAACACGGCATTAGAGCTGACATGAACCCGTCCTACATTTGAATGAGCTGGGCATTTACACCTGCAAGAAATGGATGTATTCAAAAAAGTTCTTATACCTTAGAAGATACGAATTAGCAAGCATTTTACAATTTCATAGATTCGTGTATATTTCGATTCCTATACCACTGATTACTGTCAAATGAAATGAAAATAATAACTCTAAGTATATACTTACGAATTTGAAGCAACAGACGATATGAGATCTAAAATTCTGGACCGTGAACACATATTCGTACACCCTAAAATATCGAAGTAGGTACCTATAAAAAACACAACTAAGATACTGTCGTATCAACTATTCTGTCTATATTTGTTCAGTTATCATCAACAAATACTAAGATGAAAACATACATGCCTTGAATACATAAACAAAATAATTATTTATAATTAAACAAACTTGACTGATAAAATGTTGTTCACTACTGAACAGTTCCTGAGGAATCCACAATTTATATGAAGTCTGATTCAATGATGACACTTTTTTCATTGAAATAAAAGGATCAAGGAACAAATTTCAAAAATAAGATTTTCATCGGCCATTTTGATATCCTTTCTTCATAAACATTTACTTCGTATAAACGAACATTTTTTTATTATTCGCAAGATGTATCTGTCAATTAAGCTAATACTAAGATCGATCTAGCAATTTGGGCTTCATTGCTTCATCGATCTGGCAATTAGTGTTCAATTGTCAGATCGATTTTGTAATTGAGGTTAATTGCAACATCGATCTGGCCACCAGTGCTCATTTTAGATCGATCTTGCTTGTTGCAACTGAGCCTCTCTAATTGCTAGACCGATCTGCCAGTTAGTGCTAAATCATCAGATATCAGATCGATGTTGCAATTATCCTAATCGCAAGATAGATCTGACAAATATGCTTAATTGCAACACCGATCTGTCAATTAGTGCTTATTTCACAGATCGATCTTGCATGTTGCAATTAAGCTTGCCTTATTGTCAGATCGATCTATCAATTAGTGCTGAATTCTCAGATCTATGTATATTTATGTATCTATGCAATTGTCTTAATTGAAAGATATGACAATCATAAGCTTAATTCCAACATCGATCTGACAATTAGGCACTAATTTCCAGATCGATGTTGCAATTATGTTCAATTGTACGATCGATGTTGTTGCAATTAAGCCCAAATTGCTAGATCGATCTTACAATTAGCTTAGATTAATTGACAGAGAAATCTTGCAAATAATTTCGTTATGTCGGTTCAGCACCTTCGTACCTAATAGCTTCTCCGCAACTTCTTACAGATAGAGTTAAATTTGAGTAGCTACCTACTCCAGCCTTCATCTGATTAAATGTAAATGTTTAAAGCATAGAGTGTTTTCAAAAAATTCAGCCTTTGGTTGGGTTTTGTTCGCTATCATAGAGCTATCAACAACATTTTTGGGATCTTTTTGTTCTAGCGTTGTCACGCGAAGCACAGACGTGAGGAGAATTTGCGGTCCTAGAACTGACCCTTGTGGAATTCCTTCGTTCAGTGTGGTCAAGAAATAATTATTATTATCTGTATTCGGCAATCAGACCATAACAGAAAAGAGATGCTAGTAATTCAATGAAGTCGTTAAGAAAACTGGCTGATCTTTAATAATTCTCATTCGAAGAAACCTTTTTTTGAGATAATAGTTTTCTATTTATGCATTCAAAGAAATCTCTCTGCATATTTCAGGAAACCTATCGAGAATACAGACTACACTCTCTACGGAACTGTTCCTATTCCGTCAATAAAAGTGAGCTATTACTGATTACAGATTCCTTCCAATTTCTTTCTGTATTTCCTTAGCACCCAGATGATATTTGTTCACTTTATTTTTTCTCCATGCCATATTGGTTCACTAGTTAACTTTGTTTTGCATGTTGCATATCTTCCTCCCGCACTATTTTCAAACCAATATTTGAGTACAAATCAGGGGCCGGAGTTGTGTAGGTGTCGATAAAAATATCGGAGGTGATCTCAGTAAGAAATGGCAGTTTTAACTTTTTTTTATCTCTTGGATGGCACGAGAGGAAATTCCTATAATTTTCGTTAATAATGAAAGCCTTCTCTTGATATTCCTACAGACAATAACAAAAATCAAAACTATTGAATGTTTTAAATATGACGAGATCCTCAACCGGACTAATATTTTTCAATGTTTTGTAAAGTATTGGATATTTCATAGAAATTGGTTCATCTGAACTTTTTCAGAAGTTCTGAGAATACCTTGAGCTGTCTCAACGATTTTCAAAAAAATGGTGGAGGTTCATACCGCCAAATTTGGCGATTTATCGTTAGGGCGTTTCACCAAATTTGCGCAATTGGAAAAAAAAACCTCGGATAGTTCCTGAGAGAAGCAAAAATATTTAAACAGTTCTGAATATCAACATTACCAAATTTCATCGATGATATTCGAAAGATATGATAATTAGGGTTCCAGAGACGTACTCCAATTATTTTTGCTGAGTAAAGAATTATTAGAATGTTTCAGAATAGCGGTAGGTATTGAAGTTTTTGAATCATGATTCATATCAGGGGCCCGAGTTGTGTAGGTGTTGATAAAAATATCGGGGGTTTTCTTAGTAGGAAATGACAGTTCTAACTTTTTTTATCTCTTGGAGGGCACGAAAGGAAATTCCTATAATTTTCGTGGTAATTAATGATGAAAGCCCTCTTTTGATATTCCTACAGACAATAACAAAAAATAAAACTAATGAATTCTTTAAAAAATAACGAGATCCTCAACCTGACTAACATTTTTCAATGTTTCGTAAAGGATTACTTCAATGAGATCCTATGGATATTTCATATAAATTGGTTCATCTGTACTTTTTCAGAAGTTCTGAGGATACCTTGAGCTGTCTCAACAGTTTTCAAAAAAATGGTGGAGGTTCCTATCGCCAAATTTGGCGATTTATCGTTAGGGCTATTCACCAAATTTGCGCAATTGAAAAAAAAAGCCTCGGATAGTTCCTGAGAGATGCAAAAATATCAAAACAGTTCTGAATACCAACATTACCGAATTTCATCGATGATAATTCGAATGATATGATAATTTGGGTTCCAGAAACGTAATCCAATTATTTTTGCTGAGTATAGAATTATTAGAATGTTTCAGAATAGCGGTAGGGTTGACATCTGGTCCATACACAAATGTGCCACTCTGTGGTTGTATTTATATTGAAACTATAATTCAAACATTCTTGAAAATTGAATAAATCTGATCTGTTAATGCAAGAAGAATATTCTCACAACACGGATTATTTGTTGCATTGCATACATATAGCACGGCTTTGGTGGTTACTTCACATATTTATTTTAATTAAGTCTCTCGGTTGCAGAAAAGAAAGCATGTTTCATTCGGATCAAAAGTGACACTTTGTTTGACAAGCAGATTTTGCTTCAGCTCGGCTTCGCTAGACGCTCCGCCAAACAAAGTGTCACTTCTGATCTTTATAAAACAATCTACTATTATTTTCAAATATAATTTGAGGTTCAAGTCATGATTCATAAATATTTTTAAAATTCTGTCCTATCTGCCTTTCCCCAGCTCTCTTTCCTGGTAGCGTCCATGTGGTGATATCTTCCAAAATGGATTCGTTGTACCGACAATAAAGCTATACAAGATTTTTTTTCTGAAAATGTAATATGATTTGCCGCCATTTTTTCTTGAGATTGATTAAAGAACTTGAACAGTTGCATCTCCTTGTTAATACAGTGTCATTTGCAATTAGATTTCTATTTTCCTGGAAAATTGAGAGAAAAAATTTATAAAAATAATACTTAAATGGGAGCAAGTGTATCCGCTATACCGACATTCTTGGGCTGAACGTGATATTGTTAGTCTCAAGTATTAAACACAACTGAAATATATAGAGCAGGGCATCATATAATATAAAGTCATTCTTTTATTTACAGTGCATCATTTCAGAACCCCCTAATATGTAAACTAATGTATCGTATTAGAATATGGCGGCTATCGAAAGAATATTCATATCAAGCTATTTTTCCATAGTCGTGAAAATGTTCCTCATAATATGTATCTCTATATCGATCAATGATCCAGAAATATGATTCGGTATATTTTAAAAAATAGCAGAGTAGTCTAATCTGGCACGTATATGAGATAATCATTATCTCCTAACATGTAGGTGATGATAATACGAAACTCAACAAACTAGGTCAACATACTTACATACATAAAAAACAAATCAGGCATTCAAACGAGAGGCTGAAAGTTATAATTTTCAAAACGAAAAAAAAAAAATATCCTAATGCCCAAAATGAAATCTGAATGAAATTGTATTCACACAAGCACATTGGGAGAGAGCAAACTTTACACCTCAACAGCTTCTCATGATTTACAGAGCAACAAATACGGCCTGTTCTAGAATACTGTTACCACCTATTGGGTTCAGAACCCAAACATACTCTGATGGTCTTAGATTCCATCCAGTGAAGAGCCATTTGCCTGGTGGGTGATGCCACACTCACTAACACTTTGACTGGAACACTGTAGAAAGGTCGGCGTCCTTTCACTTTTCTATGGATACTTCCATGGGAAATGTTCTTCAGAAATCTCTGCTATTATTCCACGACTAGCAATTCCAGTCAGACGAACTTGACAAGCGCAGTCAGCACATCCTTTCGTTGTCAACCTCGAAATATGTCGAACAGCAAAGCTCAAGAATTCATTGCCTGAGGAAGTTTTTCCAAGAACTTATAATCTCCAAAAGAAAAAAAAAACAATTCCTACCACTTTTCCATATTCTCCCTAGGTACGCACGATGTTCTTCGAACATTATAGGGGTTCTCTTTCGTGCGCACCAAGCGCAGCTAATTGTGAAGAGTTCTTCATAAGGTATTTTTTTTGCTGAGGAACTGATATTTTCAGTCAATTTCTTCGTTGGTCAAAACAATATATCTCAAAATGTCTCCTATAAAATCCCAATGAATGGTACCTTACTCAATTAAAGATATTGATTCAACATTTTGAGAACAAATTTTCTTTTGAAACAGGAATGAGATTTTTTGTACCATAATGTGTGAATAATAGTTATTTAACCAACTATAGTGCAGTGTAGTGCATATGGTGAATGAAACTGTTTACTCTGCTAAATACTTCATTGTTCTAACATACAATCACTACTAAAATTTCAAGAGAATATAGCATCATTAATAACTGATATATCAATGTGTATTCATGGAAAGCGGGACACACTGTATATAATATACCTACGAGTTGGTTATAACATTTTTCCGTCGACTATATTTTTTCCGGTATCTACACCAACAATCAAGTAGTAGCCATAAAAGTAACTTGTCACTGACATTAGTGATTATCAAAACTAAAAAAAAAAATCTTTCGGTAGAAAACAAAAATTGAAATCGGTTCAGAAACTTCATAAAGCTAATCCGTTAACGTAAAATATTCGATGAAATCCCTATTTTCGATTTGAATGCAGATTCCAACAGAAGAACGACGTGGTGTATGTTTGGTTGCCTAAACCACAATCGATCGTTGACAGACGAATTGATAGTTAATAGGGGTCATTAACGATCAATTTCGTGTACAATCATCAAACTTGTTAATACAAAGTCGACAAAAAATAGAATTCAATAAAGATACCTCGTTAGAATCTACAATAATTATTTCATAATATAAGCGCAATAACATTATAAATATAAACAATCAACTTATTTTCTACGATTCTGTCGGATATTAATGGTATCAAGTCGAAATAGTTACAATTCAGCTAATTAGTTAAAAATGAAATCAAGCATTGGGCATCATCAAAATACGGGTTCCCATTACATGAGAAAATAATGCAGGAAGCTATGTCTTGGACAACTCCAGCTATCGTTTATATGGGTAAGTATTTTAATTCACGTTGGTCAAAAGATATTTACAATATGTGTACCTATACGCATGATAAAATTTCATAGCCCCACATAAAATTAGACCACAGTTATGGAATACTTATTACTATTGAGTTAAAGTTATATTCAGATACCCTCGTGGTTCAAGTGGAATGGACGGTTGGAGTCGCAGGAAACTCGTAGCGACTGAAAGTTGGAGTTTTAGGCCCAGAAAGATCTTCGGACAAGGGTCTATACACAGATCCACTGTGCTTCTTCTCTCCATGCCCAGTAGTCCACAAAGGAATCTTCAGCCTGGGAAGATTAGCCTTGTGCATATCGAAGCGGTTGTTCCTTCTGAGTATGCAAAGAGTAGCTGCGACCGCTACAGTAAGAACAACCAAGGCACTGAGAACGAACACCGAGGTAATAGAGAGAATGTACGAAGCTCTCGCCAAAGTCTCCTCATGCATATCTTTAGCCAATGGTTGATCTTCTGCAACGGTTTCTTCCTCATACAAGTCATAATCGTCGTCGTCATCTTCGTCATCGTCATCGTATTCCTCATCGGCCAACTCATTGGTTTTGTCCGTTGTGATATCATCGAGCAGTTCTGGCTGTATTGGAATGTACTTAACAGAAGTGATTTGTGGGCATGCGTTTTTGTGGAATTCTTTCCATTCCATGGTACTGAATCCATCGATGTCTTCACCAAAGGTTCTCTCCATCCCAGTGTACAGGTTCTTGGTGTATTCAATTGGGGATACACCTCTCAATTCCGCTTCGTGGATAAGGCTACACAGCTTTTCATCGAAAATCAGAGGATTGTTGTTCAAATCGATTGCTTCGAGATTAGGCATGATTTCAGCTTCTTCTTCACTGATTGTTGCGAGTTCATTGCCTCCAAGCAAGATCTTGCGCAATGATTTAACAACATTGTTGGCGTTTGCCCAGAGTTTCGTTAGGGAAGCATTTCGTGCATCGATCTCTCTAAGAACTCCGTTATCGGCGAATACCTCAGGATTAAGAACCATCAGTGGATTGCCAGCGATGTTCAAAGTCTCGATATTACGATTATTTTTGAAAGTAGCTGGGCCAAGATAGGCTATTTTATTGTAGGAAATGTCCAAAATCTTCAAGCTCGCGATAGGATCGAAAATATTATCAACGTTCTTGAATTTATTATGGGACAGTTCCAAGTTGATCATGCCTGCCATGTTTTGGAACACAGAACCGTCAAGAGTTTTCAAACCACAATGGTTACAGGAGAACGTGTATGTAGTGAAGCCTTTACCATTTCTTAGGAAGAAGCGTGGCAAAGTTTCGAAATTGTTTCCATCTAGAACAATTTTGATGAGATTTTGATTCCCTGAGAAGACATCATCGTCAAGTACGGTCAACTTATTGTAGGAAAGGTTGATCACAGAGAGTTCCTTCATATGATCTAGAGATTTGTGCGAAATGGTTTTGATGTGGTTATGGCTGAGGATGAGTTCATTCAGAGTTGACAGTTTCCTTGCAGACTCTTCGTCAAAAGTCTCCAGTTGGCAATTTTTAAGCGACAAAGTTTCGAGGTTTTCAGAAGTATTCAAACGGAAATGTTTGATAGGATTGTTATCAAGATACAAACTGTTGAGTTCTTGATTGTTTATAAAGATAGTAGCTGGAAGCCTGAAGATTTCGTTATTAGACAAGTATAGTTCTTCTAGTTCGAACAGCTCGGCAAACGTTTCAACTTCTACGTTTTTGATCAGATTGCCAGTCAGGTTGAGGAATGTGAGCTTCAACAAGTTGTTCAGCCTAGGAATTTGTTCCAAGCCACATTCACCAAAGTGGAGTTCTTCGAGTACTTCAGAGGAAAGATCTGGACTGTCTTCAAACCGACATCCATGGAATTTGACCCTTTTCGTATTGTTGAATACCTTGGCATCAATGGCTCCAATTCTCGAATTGATGAACAGGATGTCATCGAGGTTTTTGAAACCACTGAAGGCTGATTCTTGGATCTGGTAGATGTTAACATTTTCGAAACTGATCACATTGACCATGGCTTTGCTGATGTAGTGGAATGTACTGGCATTGATGGTGAGAGGTCTATCGCAATCGATGATCTGCAGGCGACTAGTGATGAGCTTGCTGAGTTTGCATTTACACTCGTCGATGCAAAATCTTGAATTTGTGGGAAGCGACGGCACTGCAGACGCCGCCGCACAGGCGGCCAATACAAGTGTCCAGATTTTCATTTATCTGCAACAAAAATACAGTCGATTATTTTATTTTTAAATAATGTCTGTAGGCTAATCGAGAAGGTACTACATCCCAGGCAACCCGATGACGAATGATCACGTCACTGTGGCGTCCCTAATTGGTGATTTTTCGTCAGAGATGTCACACACAAATTTATGACGGCACTATAACGTGATAATCACGTCACAAATGATTATTAAGGTATACCTATATTGAAACCGTTACTCTTATAGAATAGAATAGAATAGAATCGTTTAATTGCTAATAAGACTACATTCACAAAGTTGCATCAGAAAAGAAAAGAGGCCTCAGCCTGTGTGTGAGCAAAAAAAAACAAATTCATACATACATTAATTTAAAAATAGTGAACAACAAACTATACTCGCAGAGGACGAAGAAACATGAAAATATAGAACGTATTCAAATTCAAAATTCAAGTATCCTTAAGAATAATATTAAAATGTTAAAATATAGATATAAGATATTAAAATTTATATAAAGTAATAATGTACATGATCATTGAAATTAAAGTTGAACATATATTTGAATTGAGGTTGAGTGGATTGTTTTTGCAACACATGTATATAGGTACTCATATAATATGTCACTTTCCTAGAATGATGCCGTTGCAGTGATGTATCTATGACGTACCAATTTGGTGAGCTTCGTCATTCAGAAATTCTTGTAATAATTTGCTATTCAGATTTTTGTTGGGTGAAAAAGAATGCATCAATATACATTATTCAACAAAGTGAAGCCAAATTCGCCAACTTCCTTTCCATTGCTATCAAACTATTCTTTGTCTTCTTACATCTCGTCGACACAAACTACATAATTTTTGATACAAATACGAGTAACTGATTGCATTCTGATGGAGAAGCGTACTGAAGGATAGCGCTGCTGAATAGGCGATTGAATGAACATGACACAGGAGGGACCCACCAAGCAGACTCAACAATGCATAATCAATATTATATAATGTCATCAGAGGACAGTGATGCTTATCACACCATTTTGACGTTATTATGACGTCAGTCGGACGTCACAGTCTGGTGAGTGAATGACGTCAATACGACGTGAGTAATATGACGTCATTGGGCTGTGACCTATTCACGTCATTATCACGTCATGCGACGTCAACTACTGACGTCACCTTGGTCATTCAAGTGACGTAAAAAAGACGTCACTGGAACGCCATCTGGTTGCCTGGGATATTCATTTTGACAGATTTTTTGGGATTTTCTCTCGTCGTTTCAATAAAAATATGAATATGAGTCTTATTTCAATATACGTATGTAGTGAGGACAAATCAGATGATTTGCCCGAGAACGACGTCACTGCTTTTGAGGAAGTCTAAATGACGAATTCAATCGATTTTCAGTGACATACGAAGAACCATCAATAACGATACAAATATAATATCACACCTTCCCGGCATATCTGAAAATATAAGGAGATTAATTTTAACTCAAACAAAGCCGAAAAATGAAGAACAATTATTATCAAAACAATGTATTTACAGTATACCTGGTGTTTGTGGAAACTATTATACAGGCGAAACAAAGATACCTCTTTCAGTAGGGACGAAAGAACTCAAGTAGGTACAATATAAAGAAAAGATATATCGACAAATCCCCCTCCCCCCTCAAATCGTGGGCATGGCCTTGAAAGTAGCTGAGCATATCTTAACTAAAAATTGAAAATATATGGCAGAGGAAAATAATATTGAAATCTTAGAATAACAAGATAACAACCAACAGAGAAAAATCAAGGAATCCGCTTGTATTCTTCTGAACGAAGACAATAGCATTGCTTCTTGGTCAGTTGCTGTAGATAGAACATGGATTTCAGTGAGGATGTGTCCAGAATTTTTATCATGGGTGGGGCGGGGGGATTAAAAATAATGGGATAAACATTAAACATTATTGATATAAATAATCAACTTATCTGCTACAAGTTTGTCGAATAGCTCAAATTCAATACTCATAAATGGAATGCAAGCCACAATGTGATTCCAAATTCTCAGCAGTCTCAGCAAACATGTTTGTATATGTCAATGAGTGTGACAAAGAGAATGAGTTGAACCGTTCTTGTTACTCCCTTTGACCATCACGACAGAAATATTTGTTGTCATTGGAAATAGCTCCTCCAATCCCGAACCTCAGAACCCAATCTCCAACCTCCAAATAATTATCTTTGAATGATAATCCCTGATGGTCAAATATGAAATAATCAAAACACTGCCCATTTTTTTGGTAGAATACCTACTCATTTGGCAATTCCTGCCTTCCACTGTATTTTGCTGCAAGGAAATTAGAAAACTAGATCTGCAACAAGGATTTCCGTAAGCGTTTCTTACTATTATCTCGTTGATTCAATTTCATACATAATATAATTATTGCCAGTTCAAGTTCATTTGGTCAAATAGTATGTGACTATTATTATACAGGGTTGAAACCAAAAAAAATACGTTCATGAAATAGAATATCTGCTATTTTATGCCAGTGTTTTTACACAGTCGTAGAAAGAAATTTAGTTTGTATGCCGTATTCACAGTTCTATACGGAGTGTGTTGCAAACTGGTGAAAATGCATAACTTAACTGTATCGCTTAAAATGGATAAATTTTGATGAAAATAGGTTGACATTATCAAACTTGAAAATCATGTTTTGATTTTATGCAACTCTCAATAAGTGAAAAATGGTCTAAGGAAACATGAGCAATTAGCAAACTATATATTTGTGAACAGGAGAAAAAGATCTTTCTCTATTATGCGATTCGCATTTGTTTATTTAAGGAGTGGCAAAAGATAGTATACAGATGAAACCCTACAACTTTCATATTTGAAGTTTTTTTTTTACCTTGTATAGTTGAAGCTGTAGGTAGGAGTCAAACTATATGGGACACCCCCTGTACGATGAGAGAAATTACAAAAACCTTCAGAGGAAATTCAGAGTTTGTCAAAATACATTTTATCTGCAGAATGGTACTTTCATCAGTCAATATATGAAATAATGAACATCATTCATTATGAATTATAATTTTGTCTGGAACATCGAACAACTCTGGGATTTCTTCTTATATCGCTTGAGTCATATTCTCATTTGTAGATGTATATGTCGAGGGAACAGGTGGTTTTTTCCCAATGGCGGAATGTTTTTTTTTATACGTGTTGGTGTTCATGGTATTTCATGCATTTGGTGTTTCATAATTCGTGCAATATTTTTCAGGAAAACGTTGAATCATTATTATAGGTATTATTATAGGTACCTACCTATAATAATAATCATTTTGAACTAATCGGATTCATTATCACTTCAATTCCTTGAATTTTGTGTAAATAATAAACTGAAATTACTCCAATGCTGGAAAATTAATTATAAATACGACATTGAGATCAGGTCGGCGAATTAACCTTAATCACTCAATGAATTGGGAAATTATTTGTCTGGGTCGTCTGGGTTTTACGGTATAGTGATGTGTGTGTAAATATGAACATTTTCTCAGACTGGACAGTGATGGTCAATGCGATGGCATTTCCATCAGAAACAATGAAAAGTACTTCTGTTCCTACCATCAGTTACTGGCATTGTTACATTATTTATTATTTGGGCAATAAAACTGCAATGGTCTATTTGAAATTATTCCTGGTACTGGGTTTGAGAGCCTGTATCAAGTTTGTTTTCCGAACTCTCATAAACTGACGTCAATAAATCATTTCAGTCGTTCTCAGATTAAAATAAAACATTTCGTGCCAATAAAAACTAAGTTTTATGTGTTCAGTTTGTAAAATTTCCATTTACAAGCTGGGCGGGCTTCCAGATCGAGTTCCAGATGGAGAATATTTTTTCATGGATTGAATTCTGAAGTGCGAGTTTATACAGAGTGGGCCTTTGAAAACGAAACAGAGGCTCTGTAGGTCGCCAAAACCGGATTATCAAAAAAAACTGAAACAGGTCAACTACATTTTCGAGGGGGACATCTTTCTAAAATATTTTCAGCCCTGCGGCGTTGCCGCTTCTAAAGAAAAGAAGCAACAACTTTGTTATTTCAAATGGAACACCTTGTATTTTATTGCATTCTTAGATTCTCTCCGAAGAGCTGAATTCATCAATGCATCACACTTGGGGTCTAGCTGTAATGGTTTCAGGGATATAAAGTGTTCAAAATCGAGATTTTTCAACTTTAAAATTTTTTTGTGTCGAAACTATTCATTATTGGTCAAAACGGCTCTCATGTCCCTATCTCAACTTGTGATTTACTATCTACTGACATTTATTTGAAACAAATACAGGGTGGTTCAAGATTCAGAATTCTGATCACCCTGTATCTGTTCCAATTAAATATTAGTAGATAGTGAATCACAAGTTGAGATAGGGACATGGGAGTCGTTTTGACCAATAATGATTAGTTTCGACACAAAAAAATGTTAAAGTTGAAAAATCTCGATTTTGAACACTTTATATCCCTGAAACCATTACAGCTAGACCCCAAGTGTGATGCATTGATGCAATCAGATTTTCGGGGAGAATCTAAAAATGGAATAAAATACAAGGTGTTCCATTTGAAATAACAAAGTTATTGCTTCTTTTCGTTAGCAGCGGCAACGCCGCAGGGCTGAAAATATTGTAGGACGATGTCCCCCTCGAAAATGTAGATGACGTGTTTCAGATTCTTTTCATAATCCGGTTTTGGCGACCTACAGAGCCTCTGTTTCGTTTTCAAAGGCCCACTCTGTATACTTACAGAAGAATCGAACCATTACATGACAACCACAACATTTTATTTTCTCGATATGAAGAATATACATATATATATATTCAAATTACAAGGGCAATTCGTCTCGTGGGTGATATATGCCTAGCTCACAAACTCACTCACTTCTCTGGGACACCGTAGGAAAGTTGGCGATCTGGCTCTATTTTATAGATATTTTCATGGACGATGCTCTTCTGAAATATCAACAATTGTTCCTCCCTTGGCAGTCCCCGCGAGATTAA